GGCATTTATATACGATGAATACAAGTCACTATTAATTATAGATAAAATCGAATTCTATATTACGTTGTAACACATTCATAATATATTTTCAAATAAAAGTACGTCTCAATTAGGCGATGTTAACGAGTTTAGTTTAGGATCAATCATTATTAAAAACGTGGACGCTGCAATCTAACATTTCGGTATGCGAATATTAAGGCAGTTTTCCATGTGTGGTCAACTTGTTTCCTAATTGATTACCATAATAATTATCAAGATAGGAAAATGGATGAACAAAAAAAAATAGAAAATGATCACGAAGAATGGTAGCAAGAGTAAATAATTGCTCGACTAGTATTAGCAGCTATTATATGGGTTAGCCGTTAATATCCATGATGATTAGTTTGTAGTCGTTTATTCAAAGCTAAATAAACGTCTTACTAATTAGCCTTGATCATGAAAAATGTCAGTTTTATGCCAACATTTAGGCATGTTTACAATCATCGATGGCTCAAGGATAGCACATTTATTAGTAAAGCAATCTAATACTGTAGGATGAATATAATCGTTCTTGGTCAAATAGTAGGCTAGTCCTATCTATCATACGTAGAATACAATATTCATCATTATGGTATTCCATCTTGACCAATTGGCATCACACTTAACAGTAAACTAAACTTGTTTTTTACTCTCTTTGAGATAGCAATACATTAACAACACATATTCTTATTTAAAAGTTCTCCATTGCTGTCATAATTCAAAGATTGATTTTATCCTATAGTAATCGTTGTTATAGTGGAGAAGTTATTCCATATCAAAGTGGAGTTCTACTGGTGCGTAACCTTGACAGTCACTAACATTGGTCCAATATGGTGTAAGTACTATTATACAATGCTGGAGTAGCGTAGGTAGTCCTACGAATAAGTCGTCTTACTTTGTGTTTTCCAATGTGAATGATGTCCTTCATGTCGAAAGAGAGAGTTTAAGCATTTCTAGCCATATCAATCTACAGTAAATCGACTCAAAAACGTCATTGTAACTAATATCAATACGAGTACATTGGTTTATCACCAATCAGGGCTAGCTGTCGACATTAGCAGTTGAAGAGAAAAATTTCATAAGAAAATGCCGAAAAATAATTGATCTTGGTGGCCTAAGAGCGCGTAAAAAAAGACTTTATCCTTACTTATCTCTTATAATGTTGTAGCCTGCTGTATTTTATTACCAAACATCGATAGCTAGTAAAAAAAATTCCCTGGAAAATAGTTCTGATAGTGACTGGATGATGACTTCTTCAAGTCGACCACTCCATATTCATAGTAACGTATCGTATACCCCGATGCAACACCTAGCATAGTATTAGTAGTATTAACGAGTTGTCATTTTAAATCTTTTATTTATTACCATATTGATCAACATCGGATGAAGAAGAATATCGAATGTGGCTCGTCTAAAGTCTTTGGTAATGACTATATTAAGTGACTGCTTAGTGTAGCATGGACATAATTAAAGCATAAGTCGATATCGCTATCGCCACTACGATCGATATTTTGATGGTGTGGGATTTTTTTCCCTACTATAGAACATGATGTATGACACTATTTACAGTAAATTAGCCAAGTTAAGAGGTAGTACTGTAGAAATTTTCCAACGTTCCAACTTGCCATCGATACTATAGAACCATGCATCCCTCAACATTCGTGTTCAAATTACAGAGTATAGTCATCCTTTATAAGCAATAGATGGTAAAAAAAGTGGAATAAAAAGGATTTGGAAGGATTGATCAACTTTACTAGGTCATGTTTTTTTTCCCCTCTCGTTTTGATGGTAATGTCTAGCTATTAAAACTCGGTTAAGAGTAGTCAAAAGACTGCAACCTTCTTACTCTCGTTACTACTGCAAGTCCGTATCCTTCAGTGTAAAAATATCAAAAGGATATTGAGCAGTCATATCATGTCAAAGCAATGGATCGAGAGAAAAAGTAATCAAAACAATTGAAAAAGATGAAGTAGTTGTAGCATTTTTTTTCTCCTTGTCGGATTGTGCTCCACATCCATAAGCAAAGCGGGTACTGTATGTAACTTGCTATCGATACTCGATAGCCATGTATGGATCACTATCAAAAGTACAATTATCCTCTATGATTAAGCAATCGATGGAGGAAAAAGGCACTAAAAACGACTTGAAAAGTTGATTTATCATTTGTACTACTACTACAGTCGTGCCATAATGATGGAAAGATAGAATAAAGACACAATCATAGCACTACAGTACAGAGGATTAAGTGATTGTGAAATGTTTGAAAGATGGGAAGATAGAGATTGATTATATTACTACTCTAGTCATTAAGTCATCCATCATCAAATTATCTCCATGTCATATCACTATGTTTGTAAAAAAAAAAAGAGTCAACAGTAGATGATTGGAAGATGATGAAATTGGCTAGGAGTCAATTTGTTCAATGATGGATCTCCTTGCTGTCAAGTCAACGAGTGGTGATGAGATTGTCATCCGAGTGAGTGAGAAGTGATTGAAGGCAAATTTGATGTTGCCCCCAAAGTGGAATAATGACCATTTCAAAGTGTCATTAAGGAAATCCCTTCACACTATGTTGAAGTTGTAGCACTCTAATCAGCCTAGGTATAGAAATGATGATTTTGGATCCAATTTCATGCATTAGTGTATGGATAGAAGTGCATGTTGATCATGTCAAAATCGAGTTGTGTCAGTTGTGTGTAGAAGAGCAAGGAAGCGAGTAGGGTCATGGAGGCAGACATGTTGTATCATCGACCATGATGAACTAGGGCCAGATGAAGCATATGGAAATGACTAATGCATCATCGTCTATGGGCATCCATTGCATCTCTCTTGCCCTATCGTGTTGGGTGACCGATGCAAAGCAATATCGCCATCATTTCTCTCTCGTTATGGCTTGAATTTTTCAAGCCATAACGAGCTAGGCGCGATTTCATCATCTCGTCATGGTGTCAACTTGTGTAGGGAAAAAAGGCATGTGAGAAGTGATAAGGGGCAAAAAAAACACAACAACAACAAGTGGATCATGGTGGATAACAAATGAAGCAAGCAACAAAATAGAAATTGCTGGCCAATATCTATTAATCAGCTGTAATAGTTGTATTTTAATTTGTTGTGGAGATAAATGAATGGCCAGGAGGAGGGCAAGTTCAACATTATTTTACAGATGAGTGGCAGCTTACCTCTGTCATTCTTCGCCGTCTCAAAATGTTTAGCCACCGTCACCAGCTGTCATCTGTCATTGTGATTGGCAAGTTGATCACGTGGCAATCACCGATTCGTCGCACCAATGGTTGACAGGTCACCGGGGCAACCAGTACTCGCTGGTGAAACGGTACAGTACGCATTGAGCGTACGTCAAATACAGTTACGCTGTTGCATTTTGACTGGACTGTAGTGTACACTACTACCATCGACTATAGAGCCGGTGGCCTGGATGCTTTTTGAAGGGGACAAAATCGAAGAAAAGACGATGAGTTTTTGCCGCCTTTCTGTACGTTAAAAAAGAAGAGAAACGAAGCCAAGGATCTCTACCGTATGACGTAATCCAGTACAGTGCTATACGGTACAGTACAGTACTGTACTCAGTCATTACTCCATACAGTACAGTACAGTACAATGTACAGTGTACAGTACGTACTGTGCTGTACTGTACTGTACGACTGAAGCTGGCAATAATACAACCACCGTACCGTCAACACTGCAGCCAGTGCAATTGGCACAGCGGTTGTCGACCGACCCAGTAACTGAATCAATTCATGATAGGAATAAAAGTTACTACTGGCAGTCGGTCGAAGCAGTCCCCTGCTGCAGGACTATACAACCGTGACAAACTTACGCTTATTAAGCGACATGGTCTAAATGGCTGCTTAGACAGCATGGAATCTCTAGTTTACAATAGAATAACAAATTTACAAATTGTCCTTACCAAAACTGACTAATCAAAAATTCCCAAACGATCAACCAGCATGTAAATTGACAAAAATTGTAATCAAACCGGCTTGACTGCCGACTGGATTGCTAGTGGTAGCAGATATACTGTAGGGTTGTAAGGTCTCCGCATTCCACCAACATGTCACTGGCGATTTAGACGCAGACAACTTGTAGTAGTCATCCCGTGCTAAAATGCAGTAATGGATCAATTACATACATGGATATCATCAGTAATTATGGCAGTACTGTATCAAAACGATAACCAACACATTCTTACAACCTACTGCATATCTGCAACTAGGACGAAGATACTAACTGTATATAAGTATTCGATAGACAGTAATTAATCATCTGTACATACAAATACAATACCGTACTCGTATGTCTGTACCTATGTATTGAATAGGATAACTATTTCCTTATAATAGAATTACTCAATTGGGCTATTCATAGCTAATCAATAAAAATAACATCCATCAACGTCCAAAATGATTCCATTTTGCCACATAGTATTTACATTTCAGCAATCAATCAATTAATCTTAAGATAGCCAGCCACTTCACATGAATACCCTCGCATTACTGCAGTACTGTGCTATAGTCTACAGTAGAGTGCACACACCCAAAAAACCTGAAAGATATTATGCAGTACAGTAAATCAATACGAATACAGTAGAGGGGCAAAAAAATGTCGTTGCAGAACATTGCCTCTAATAAAAGAATATTACTGCATGAGGCGTTCGATAGAGCACATGACGCAATGTTTATTCTACTCCAATTTATTTACACGAATTATTATTATCGAACAATTCTCGAAAATTGGGGGATGCACAAAGTGCAATATATTAATATCGTGTATATCTTGTACACATCCTACTAATTATTAATTATAAAGTATTTTAGTCTTGACGTCAGAAATACAGACATGCATTATTACGCATTTGGTGATAATTTGTAACCTTCTACAGCAGTCTTAAGTATAGAATGTATAAGCGTTAAAAAGTTGTTATATCTAAAAAAAAATGTCGTGCCATACTAATTTACTCCATTCGCATACAAAAATTGATTTATCTACAACTATCGTGGATTAATTATTAAACAACTCAATATAGTATATTTATCCTTACATATATACTTGTATATACTGTATATACACATGAACAGTACTTGTGCATCCATTGTCACCCAACCGCATAGGCGCACTAATGAGCTATAATTTGTATTTTAATAGTAATCCTAGGGAATACGTCTAGTAATGGAATTGTACACTATTTCTACCTTGAAGTGAATACTACCACCTTGATCATCACATTCATAAATCAGCGTTATCACACTTGGCTAGCAAAAGCTAAAGGAAACTCTATCTAAGCTATAGTATTAACCACTACTGTTAAGTACAATTGATAGAGGATATCGCTCAAGTCGATGTTGCCCAGTACTGTCATACCCAAGGCTTATAACTAATTATCAAGTATATAGCCCAAAAATATACGAATACACTGTATACTTAATTAGATATTCAATGTTGCCTGGTTTTACACTACACGCACATATAACCATGATGCAAATACGTATGAGTACATGCTCCATTCTATAATCGTTATCCCGATTTACGTTAAGTAGCATGCAAAAGAATTATTTAAATCAACATTTATTATAAACAAGAAATGCTAAAAATGTAATATAATTAATTATAATGACAATAACATGACATGTTAAAATTTCGTCAATCGCTAAGTATACTACGATAAATAAGATCGTTCAGTTATGCAAAACTGTGCATTTGTTAATTAAATATAAAGGTCAACTTTTCGAAAATCTGTTTAAATCGTAATAATAAGTTGGAGTTTTTATTTAATATTCAATTGACGAGTCAAATTGACTTCATTGATGTGCTCAAGGTTCTATTCATTAAATGAATCAATTAAACATAGAGTATTTTGGATCAAGACATAATATTCTACACTTGGCTACAGAAAGCTGCAAGAGATGGAATTGTCTCGTCATGTTCCTTTCAAATAAATCATAGTTTTTTCATCTTACGTATGCCAAAATTAACAAAAGCCTGCCTAAATCAAAAATTTTCAAGTGCAATAATCGTATTTACATTAGTTTGCTAATTCTGTTGCAAGAAATCACATAATCTAAGTACGTGTTACATTATAGCAGATAAACAATGACTGTAATTAAATAATATTCCTTCGTACATATTTTGTAATCAAATTTTTTATATAAATACAACTCCTTCCTCGCTAACTATAAAGCGCTCTGCACTTTCTATTGATGATGGGTGTTCAAGTACTACGGAATAAGTCGCCGAATAGCTATTTGCTCCACTCAACTCCGAATCAAGTTTACTCAAAATATAACGATATTTAACAAGCTTCCTCCAAACATTGGGCATATATTCCATATGTTTACTATGTGTGCTGTTATAGTTAGAAGCGATATCATTCCTAAGACGAGATTTATTAGCTAGTCTACTGTTTTCAAACTGCTTCCTAATAGCTGATTTGGTAGCAAGAACAATCAGATTATGTTCATCGCACAGGTATTTGACAATTTTACATAATTGATCTACTCCACTGCTCGATGAAAATTTATCCTGCCAGTAGAACGAACCTATGCCATCAATGAGCATAATACCGATATCAGGATTGCTAGAAATGCTATACTCCAGCAAATGCAATGATGTAATGAGTTGATGAATAGTGTCACAGCGTATGATATAAAATCGTTCCAAGCATTTTCGAATAAACTCTTCAGAATGCTTGACCATAGTTGCGTTAGATCCTTGACAAGCTTTGCAATAGCGTTGCTCCAGTATACTCATTAATCGTAGCAAATTAAAGTGATAATCACAATCAATATAGACGACCGACATGGATCTGCCATTCATTGCAATACCACGAAAATTATCCGGCATGATACACTTGATCATTAAATGCAGTAGCATTTCCGTTTTTCCACAACCCTCACTGCCGTAGAATTCTACTACATCACCACATGTTAAGCCGTTGAATTGTAATTTGCTAAATAGCCGATCTTCCATACCAATCACAGTTTGTCTAGAACCTAACCTAGCAAAGAGCTGGATCAAAAGATTGATGAAAGATTATTATTACACGTATATTAAAACGTTATCTGTCTCAAGCATGTACGTACTAATGCATACTGATTTGCCTACAACAGTAAACTTTATTTCTACATCATCTTCTTTAAAACTATGCAATTTTTATCTTTGTCATTACGCTATACAATCGAGTGAATGAACAACCTTGGCAGCCGATTCGCTAGCCATGCTTGAACTCTTGAAATGGCAGACAGTAGGATCAGTTTGATATCAATTCGTTGGATCGTTTTGGTATTAAAACTATAGTTCTGAATCTGCACAATGATTTAACCGTAAGATAGGATGTTTTTACTTTTTGAGATTGCATAAGCCAACGCCTAATTAGGCAAGACATGGATTCCATCCATCTTGATCAATTTCCAGCTCTGCTCATTGCACTCTTCAATCCTCAGGTAGCCCCAGCAATTCATGCAACTCGAACATACAGTCGAGAACTTATTGTGTATTACTGAAGGTGTACAGTATGCAGGCGTACCTACAGTTTGAGCATATACAGTATACTGTATCCTACAGTGTACTGTATGCTAGCAGTTATTTGTATGTACTGTAGGAGGGTGGCTAAAAAGCTCTGATCCACCTGAAGTAATTTCTCTACAGGAAGTTTTCACTTCGGATTCGTTCCATAATAAGGCAACTGAAGTTCTGTACAGTATTATTCATTACAAAGTGTGCCAAAGCGTAAATACGTTTGACGAAAAAGAAAAGGTCGTTGAAATTTTCATCTGTACTTGAAGCAAGTACCTGATTCATACTATAAGCTGTACTATATCAGTATGGCATGTGTGGAAAGTGAACGTTCCCCACTATCAACTTGCACTTCAAAATATAGATTGTAACAGGATGAAAAGTTGGAAAGTTATCGCTACCAACTTCCGTCACTTTACAATCATTGCCGAGATTGTCCCAGTATGGAAAGTAGAAAAGTCATCGTCTCTACTATTCACTTTCAGTACTTGATATTCAAAACATCGATTGTTGCTTACCTCTCCAAACCTGAAAGTTATCACCTCACTATCAACTTTCAGTACCTGCACGCTACAGTATCTGCTGTCGCCACAAATAGAAACATAACAGCCATTGCTAGAAACTTTTCCAAATTGCACTGCTACTGTCTACATTACTATACTGTCGCCACAACTATTAAACATATCAGCCATTACTACAGACTTTTCCAAATTGCACTTTTACAGTGTTACTGTCTACTCTACTATCGCCACAAATATACAATTTAACAGCTATTACTACAGACTTCTCCTCGAAATTGCATTGCTACCGTGGTACTGACTGTCGCCACAAATTAAAACGTAAGAGCAGTGCTCCACACAATCCAAATTGCATTGCTACAGTGGTGCCGTCTACTATGCTGTCGCCACAAATATAAAACATTGCAGCCATTACTACAGACTTGTCCTCCAAATTGCATTGCTACAGTGGTGCTGTCTACTAGACTGTCGCCACTAATATAAAACATTGCAGCCATTACTACAGACTTGTCCTCCAAATTGCATTGCTACCGTGGTACTGTCTACTCTACTATGGCCATAAATATAAAACGTAACAGCCATTACTACAGACTTGTCCTTCAAATTGCATTGCTACAGTGGTACTGTCTGCTATGGCCATAAATATAAAACGTAACAGCCATTACTACAGACTTGTCCTCCAAATTGCATTGCTACCGTGGTACTATCTACTCTACTATGGCCATAAATATAAAACGTAACAGCCATTACTACAGACTTGTCCTCCAAATTGCATTGCTACAGTGGTACTGTCTACTAGACTGTCGCCACAAATATAAAACATAACAGCCATTACTACAGACTTCTCCTTCAAATTATACTGCTACCGTGGTACTGTCTACTAGACTCTCGCCACAAATATAAAACGTAACAGCCATTACTACAGACTTCTCCTTCAAATTATACTGCTACCGTGGTACTGTCTACTAGACTGTCGCCACAAATATAAAATATAATAGCCATTACTATAGCCTTCTCCTTCAAATTATACTGCTACCGTGGTACTGTCTACTAGACTATCGCCACAAATATAAAACATAACAGCCATGACTATAGCCTTCTCCTTCAAATTATACTGCTACCGTGGTACTGTCTACTAGACTATCGCCACAAATATAAAACATAACAGCCATGACTATAGCCTTCTCCTTCAAATTATACTGCTACCGTGGTACTGTCTACTAGACTATCGCCACAAATATAAAATATAACAGCCATTACTATAGCCTTCTCCTTCAAATTATACTGCTACCGTGGTACTGTCTACTAGACTATCGCCACAAATATAAAACATAACAGCCATGACTACGACTTCTCCACCAAATTCCGCTATTGTAGTGGCACTGTCTACTAACTAGAACAAGACTGCGTTGAGCTGACTCAGTATAGCCACGATGGTTAGATAGAGTACAGCACTCACAGTGTATCCGTGTATCCCTCCTACCTGGCCGTAGGCGCGGGTCTAGCTTGCCACCAATCAAACAACGCCTATCTCACTCTGAATCATTAATTCCGTTAGGTAAACTTAGTCCTACCTCTTGATTCATTAGCCTTGAAAGCATGGATTATGTCATGTTAAGAGAATCAGAAGACGGAAATAGCGAAGAAAATAACTGGCCTGATCTCTTGTTAAATGCCAGTATATCATTACATAATAACTGGGATAAAATCGACCCGGTGGAAAATCCTTTCGTTCCTCTCGATTTACACACCGCCTCTTCTATTGGTCATTATGAACAAGTCCGAAATTTAACGGATGGCCAACCCTTTGACGTTGTCAATAAACAAAATAAAGGTTCATTTTCCTTCGATTCCATTGATGTGATCTAGTATAGTGTGTATACAATCCAAGTTAATCTAGAAATGAGACGATAGTGTGGAAATAATATCCATGATATAGAAGTTTCAACAACAAAAATAACATGCACAATCATCGGAATAATAATCACTTTTATTGATGACCAGCGCATACAAAGGCACATGAATTAAGATAACACAGACGATCATCGTCATAATTGTTTACTTTGATCTGATCCACTTTTAATGAGAATCAATTTCCATTAGTTAGCCAATGAATTTCTAACTAACTCCTTTGCTATCCTTTACTGGATGATATGACACAACCGTACAGATAATAAATAACACGAACATGCTGTAGTCATTCTGGTTATAACTTAGAAAAATGCTTAGTTTGCTCTGTTGTCTTATTTTTATAAACTGATTTCTGTCTGTTAATAAATATCTAATTGTAGATCATTGGACACCATTAATGTATGCTTCTTATATGGGCCACGATACCACCCTTGATTTACTTTTTGAAGCTGGAGCTGATCCCAACGTCAAAACTATTCATGGTATCACCGCATTGATGTTAGCTGCAAGCTGTGGCCATGAATCGATAGTCTACGCACTTTTACAGGTAATTGCATTCATTTTGAATAAAGATTCGCCAAGCTATGTTATACTACTTTCGATATCAACCTGAAATCCTATTCTATCATCATGCAGTAGGTTCATTGATCCCATTTTTATAATTAGGCAATAAGTGACTCTGAATTACTAGTTTACGCGTAAATGTATATACATTTAAATGATAGCCCACTTGCTTGAAGTATCACATTTCCCCAACATCAAAGTGTCAATGAATTCATAATTAAGTACTATTTCAAACTGAATATAAACTTTAATGATATTTTACTTGTATGATAGATCCTACTTAGGCAACGTCTCCGTTTTGAATAATTTAGATTAAAGTACTCGTTCAAATTTGAACCCATTTTAAAACTCTTTTATAAATTTTGTTTCTAATAATATCAAGCTGACAGTAGCAATCCTACAAAATTTCCAAAATAGCAAAAATTTTAAATAATTCATATTAAAATACACTAGAACTTCTAATTTAAAATCATATAAATCATATCCTATGCTAGTATAACCTCTCCATTTTTCCTACAACATGAAGAAATACGTATTTAATTTACGCTATTTTATATTTGTAACAATATTAAAATGTTGCAGTTGTTTTTATAAAAGTATCAAAGTTATAAATCAATGAGAGAAAAAATTAATACGTACCCATATTCCATAACAGCACAATCTTTCCCATTGTATTACATCAAAATATTGTATGGTTCATATTAAAATATTGCACCTATTCAAGTTTATCTTAGAAAAAGTTACCGATAATTTACTCATTAATATTGATCAAATTTAGGAGGAAAATGATGCGATAATTCAGAATAAATTGTATACCTTAGTATATATATATATGGATGAGCTATTTAATACGGTATTTTCCATTAAATCCTTTTCACCGACATTATTAATTTTAATTAAATTAATGAGAGTAAATATAAGTAGATACTTTATAAATTACAGTGCTTTCGTAGTATTTGTTTTATGCAAATGCCTTCCTGATTTCAAATCTCTATTGGACAGTCAAATTTTACACAATTCTTACTCGTTCATAACTTTGATGACATGAAATAATCTCAAACTAATTTCATTTTTAATTACGTCATTTCAGCAAGGAGCAGCACCTAACGATGCAGATCAATGTGGAATTACGTCATTGTTTTATTCCTGTCGTCAGGGAAATGCCAGTGTTGTAGCATTGCTGCTTGCCAATGACGCAGATCCAAACATAAAGTAAACGCCGTCTGACGCAGTATAATCGATGATAGCATTAACTTAAAAATGCCGTACTATTTTCTATATTTCGTCTTGAAATACATTCAAAATTTCTTACGTTAGTAAAAACTTATCGCTATTTACAGAGACCCAAAAAATGGTATGACACCACTACTGGAAGCCGCAAGAAGTGGGCGCGAAGTTATTATTAGCACATTACTGAAAAATGTAATGCTAGTACCCTCCAAAATATCACTAACTTATTAGAACCACATATACGATAGCTAACTGCAGGTTACTGCATGATTATATAGGGTGCAGATCCTCATATCCGAAATAAGGAAGGAAGTACAGCGCGTTCCTTAGCTGTACGCTCTGGTAATACTGTTGCAGTTAAAATGTTTGACAACCTCTTACCTCAACGCGATGACTCTAAACTAACATCGAGTGATCCAGGTCTGAATCAAGGATAACCCGATATGGAAATAGATATCTATCATTTCATTTCAGATATAATGTGACGTATTATAATGCTGCGCATTCATTTCCATGATTTTTACTCATAAGGTGTGGTCAGATCGAGATCATCTGATCAGATTGAAGAAATTAGCAAAGAAAATGCTAATCTAAATACGCCGCAAGATTATGGCATTAGAAAAGGACCAGAAGAATTTAATCGCCTGGTTAGGCAAAAATCTAATGAAAAGCAATTACCTACTGCTGGTAATGAGATAGCCGATCTAGAAGGTAATTTTTCCAAGTTGACTCTAGGATTCGGAAAGTAAGAGATTGTATACTATTAGACATCTAAATACTTTCTTATATTCTATCTCTACAGCTCGTAAAACCGTTAAATTTCAAGAAGATATTGATGTAGCTCTAATACAATCATCAGATAAAGATGTGACTCCTACCAAAATGAATCCCCTACCCACTGAACGAGGTATACATGATTTATTTCTCATTATGCCATTTAAAAAATTATCATAGCAATCGTACTAAATGACTACATTACGAACTAAAAGAATTTATAACTAATCTTGTAATGAAACACTTTTCATCCATAAAATGATTTATATATAATACTAGCCGTTTCATCCAAGAAAGAAGTAGAAATCTTATCAAATAGTTCAGAAAGCGATTCTGATATTGGATTCTTTCGAGGTGGCATGGAAACAGTAAAATATGATGGTCCGTTAAGTCCAAGTTCAAGTAGTACTAATCTACTACTTAAGCGCAGCGATTCTATTCCAGAAAAACAGGAGAATAAGCAGCAAAATACCGTAAGTAGACAAAACTCAGCAAGTTCTCGCGCAGTAAGTGATCATGATGAGGGAGTCGTTCAGTTCTTGGAACAACTCAAGCTATCGAAATATTTATCGACTTTTGAAGAACAAGAGATCGATATGGAAACGCTATTGACGCTTAGTGAAGCAGATCTTATATCGATAGGAATCAAGTAATTGCTCAATTTCTTTACAAAAAACATTCACTACTGTTGCCGTAAACATTATAAACATTTATACTTAATGTCATCAAACTGGATACCATCATAACGGCATTCCATTTGCATCTATAGATTATTAGGTCCTAGAAGAAAAATTTCTATGGCAATATCGCGTCACTCGTCAAAGAGATCGTCTAAAGTTAGTATCTCTGTATCACTATACAAGTTAGATAAGACTATAATACATCCATCGTTTTTCATTAATTTAATATTAGTTATTTTAGAGCATTAGAGTATTGCTCTACAACTTTTAGCTATGTAGCTATTTAAATCTGGATATTGGAAGTCCTCTAAATTTAATTCCTCTCAATAAGTAGAATACTGGAACTTCATAACTACAGTTTAAATAACTTCATTAAAATATGAAATTGTACTATAAAAATGACTTCAGATGTATAATTTCGAGACGAGGAATCATACATGGAAGTCTCTCTTTCCCTAATGATTTTTTAAGTGTAGAATGTAATATATTTCATAAAATTACAATATTGCCTTTTTGTATAATATTATTGCTGCTTCCTCAACTAAAAGCTTTTGAAATATACTGATTAGGATTCGGGAATAAATCAAAATATAGAAAAAGAGAAAAGTGATTTAGAATCACGATTACAACAGGTAAATTTATTTAATTCATTAGACAACATTTCTAATAGCATTCAACCAATGATTTAAAAATAACCCTGTTCACTCATCTATGCACCGATTTGGTGATAAATACCGTATGAAATTTTTATCTCATTTTTTGATGTTGTAAGAAATCAGTAAATCTAAATAGATTTCTATTCCACACATTCAACTTTAATTTGATGCAGTACTCATGCCATGCTGTATCACTCTTACTATTGTAGAAAGCTAATTTATTAGATTCATGTTATGAGTGAAATAGTAAAATTCTTCTGCCTGATTTACGAATCTTCTCATTTAATCCGATACAGCATACCGTCACATGGTCTATTATAGTAAATAGTCATAATTGTATAGTAGTGTAGTATACCGATTTGAATAGATATAATTTATGTAACTTCCAAGCTTTTTCCGTCTTAGTAAAGCTACCAGTAAATTCATACTATCCTGGAGAATGAACATAACTCCTACTATTTTACTCATTCTATATTTCAATGTGATACATTTGTAGGCTTTAGACAAGATTAAATATATATCAAATCAACTACAGCAAAGCAATAAAACAAATGAACAATTACGCAAACATCTCAATGAAGAAAATTTGCGTAGTCAACAAGTCGTCAGAAATGTTAAAAAAATCAATGAAGCCACTGTGAAAGCTTTAAAACGTCTTACAGCAGCAAGGTTGTTGTTATCTCCCTACCCTATTTTACGTAGATTTTAGTTTAAGGAACTCCCATTTGGTATTAGAATAATTTTTTTTATTATAGGCAAACCAATGATATCATGCAAAAAAGTTTCCGTCAATTGGAATTGCGCTATCGCGGTATGCGAATATAATATTTCTACTTTTAATTTAACGATAGCAAATTATTAATGATTCTTACCATGAAAAATCAATTAATTTTTATTATCCTTCAGAAAATTAATTCAAAAATATATACCACTTACTTTGCAGAAATGACAAGGGCATTAGAAGCCAAGAAAATCAACTCAGAACCTGATGAATCGTCATCAAGTCCTTTATCTAGTAATAGTGAAACTAGTGAAACCATTAATAACACTACCGACAAATTACTTCCAGCCTTAAGTAATGTTAATAGTCAATTAGTCGAAGAACTCAATTCAGTTAATAACATGATAGAAATTGCTATAAGCAATCTTAATAAAATATCTCTTTGAATTAAGTCAGGCTCATACTGTATAGACTAATAAATTACCTTCAAGACGATATAATACTGTATTTAATCTATCAATACTAACTTTCGTTTGTCGTTACTGACTGTTTACGTAATGAATATATATATTGCAGTTTACTACTAGCGTACAGTAAATTTCACTATAGCTCATGGACTACATATCATTTTTTGTCAAATCAAAAGTAATCCCTTAGCCTATTTTTATCTCTGCGTTATTTTTACTATACTAATGATTATTAATTGAGCTTCATATCAGTTATAATTTTTATTGATCACAAGTTAATTTTTCCTACATTTAAAAATGTAATATCAAGAGTTAATAACTAGATAGACTGTACGCTTTTACTTACTATCAATTTTTTAATTATCGTTTGTGAATTTTAGTTTATATTCCATTTTAGTAAGTATTTACAATATTAAACCTCGATTACACTATGATGCAAAGACATAGAATAATAGATAATGAAATTATCTCAAACAACTTCTCTTGGATTAACTAATCTTATTACCTTACCTCTTCTAGGTAGATCATTATTATTTTATTTTTCCTATGTATTTCTGATGAATTCGTTTCTTTTACAAATACATACAAGTAATTAAGTCTGCGTAATTGACGATCTAAGCTACAATTATCATGAAGCTTGAATAAAATAATAATATCGTACTTAGGTACATTTTCTATATTATTATTAGGATCGTGAATGTTTAAGCTAGATTCCAAGTTTATTAGATGAAAATTTACCGATATTTACAACTATTTAGTATGCTCTATATTTATGGGTTAATATAACGATGAAGCCTTATTCACGTTAGCAGTGCAAAATTGTATAGTGCTAGCTTCAAAAACCCTCCAATTTTGATCAGCTGAGGTGCGAGATTCGCATTACTAACATTCCTTTTAATGAAGTTTCATTCTACATCAGTGTACTTAATTATGAATTACGCTCCACCAAACCAATACTTCAAGATTAAAAACAATATTATTTCATCATAGATGCTCCATTTTTAGTTTCGCAGCCTAAATATTTATTAATCATTTTTATTTGATGACACTATTTGCAAGCTATAAATAAATCCGATGCTATGAGATTTCTTAAGCTATATTTTCGTTATTGAACAGTTTTACTTATGCAAGACTGTTTATAATTTAAACACAAATTACAATTGATAGTATGATTTTAATTATATTGAGATATATTTAAAATATCTTGCTTATTCAGACCAAAAAGGAAAAATACACATGACTTATTCATAGCAATGTTTGTTCTATATTTTGTATAGATGTAACTAAGGCTGCATAGTAAATAATTTTTAAATACTTCATAATGTAGTACTATAATATCTTGAAATCTTACAAGTCTGCTATTTTCAAAGATCAAAAGCTATTCTATCTACTATGGCATATAAAGCATTTATAAGTAAATTATAGCTATTTCATGAAGGAATTTAATGACCTGTGGCCACAGTTGTCAATGCATTTTCGTCTTGCTGATTAAAACAATCACCGCAGGCGTTATAATATCCAAAAACACTTATAGCGCCTACTATGATACTGATTAAGATCTATTTGGATATAAGATTGTATTAATATGATTGGATTTACATACGTATCGTACTTACTTTTATATCCTACGCTCCAGCTATCGATACAAATAATAATATATAAAATCGATCTAAATAATAATACTTACCGAAAATATAATGTAATGTTCAAAGAACTGTTTCTTGATCATAACTTTTGCGTAAGCAAAGGCACAAGGTATATGAGCTTCTCGTTTTTGACTTTTAAAGCATCTAAATGTATCATATATCATTAATTAATATCATTAATTGTAAATTTAGGGCTATAACGGAAAATTTAGGAACCGGTTTAATCAGACTTGATTAAGATGATAGCTATCTGTTGCAAAATAGTGATAAAATCTCGGCCAGTCAAAAAATAAGCTGATATTCCTCTAGTCACCTTTCGTAAAAATAAGCCGCAGCAGTTAAATTGCCATTAGTTAAGGTTAAATTACGAGCACCAAAAGTGAAAACGGTGTCATTATCTAATTGGCCACTCTCAATTAACCAACCAAGGTTAAAATAGCCCTAAAAAATTAAATTTCAGTAATTGTAGATTGCTGTTGGAGGATAAATCAACAACAAAAAGAATAAGTATCTCTAATTATCTGTATACAAATACATGTACAAGTCTAGTTCAGCCTGTAAAGTATGCTTATCTTTCTTTTATTTGCTGTATTTACTCCAAAAGAAAACGAATCTGCATTTATCTGAATATTTCTACCAAAATTTTGACCTATAGCAAATTTTAAATGTACTTGACAAGTAAAGCACTATACGGTATTTACTGAATCGTTCGTCGTTGTATTTCGGGTTAACGAGAGAGAATGATTGTCATACAGTATATATCTGTTCCTCCATGCTAAATGTAATCATAATATCTTATATACATAAGAAATTCATTCCTATTTAACACTATTCAAATGGATGCTTCTATTGCGTATATACCAAATATCTAGTCCTTTTCTTACAACTCTAATAGCTATTACAATAATTCCGATTCAGAACAATCTCATTACTAATCAAGATAGAATCACAATACTCAGCAAGGATTAGATTTCTCTGTAAATTTCTGATTTATAACCTTGAGGGAGCTAATAAATCGCTGATAAGGCATGATAGTAGGAAGAAACAGAAGCTCATTGTCCCTAACCGGTAAGGCTAAGGATGTTTAATTAAATTACCTGAGGTTCATTCTTTTCAGCTGCTTCGATATATAATTGTGTAGCTCGCTTACTATCTCGTTTCCCTTGCAATCCATACCAATAAGCATCTGCGATCTTGACTTTAGCTGTTAGACAATCAATTTAACATTAATTTATGTTGAAAGCACGTAATTAACGTTTGCCAAATACATTCAACATTCGATTAATCAATACTAGAATTAATCAGTGAGTTAATCTATTCTAGTATCTGAAATTTTATGTCCGTAGAATCTAGAATTGATGTATCCTTCAAGGATAGTATAACGTATGAAAGATATATAATATATATGCATATTATATTTACATACTACAATATGTAAGTCATATATAATGCAATAAATATAATTTTAAGCATATATGTAGGCATACTTCTTACCATTTTCTATAATTACCTGGTGCATGACCTTGTACAGCAGAGAGATTATACTGACGCCATACGCTATTATCGCAATCTGGTAATTCATTCTAGTCATATTTGGTGTTAAGAGAAAAGGATTTTACTGCAATCTATAGTTTGATGTCACGATTATTGTGATCTTATCGGAATGCAAAATTTATATAACTCACGTAGAAATTTTCACATATGAAAGCAGCGTTAAATTGTGCGAATTCAATTCCAGCTTCAGCAACCATCAGATAGAAAAGAAATGCATGTCGTCTATAGTTTGGTGTTTTATGCAACATTTTTGATCAATTTATAGCTTCATACATTCTAATATAAAATATTTTATGCAGTATTATCCAATTCAACAATTGAAATTTACTCATAAATAATACGTCTGATACCTATGAGATGCAAGAAAAGCATCTAAGCCTTTTCTTAACGTTTTGGCTAACATTGGACTTTTTTTAGCAACTCCATCAACATAGCTGCATTTGAATAAATATTAAGTTAAAGAAACTTTAACAGTGCTTTCAGAATGTGCTACAATTATCACAGAGTAAATTTAAATATCTGCTTTGGATTATCAAAAATGGAAGAAGAGAATTAATGTAACTCTACTGTATAGGACAAAAATTTTTACCCAATAGCTTGCGGACATGATCGTTTAATAAATTTATTGTGTCCCATAAAGGCTTGAGCAACTTCCATACTACCGTCCATACTACCAAGATTAGCTGCTTTAACAAAGTATTTTAAAGCCATTTCCTATATTATTGAAATAATTAATGGTTAAAAATTATTGATATTCCATAGATAAGTCTATTATATAATTCTATCACAAATTATTGGATAAATAATTAAAATACATTAAACTAACTTCGTCTCTCGTTCCGTTATTTAACTGGCCTTGAGCGTACATATAGCCCAAGTTATAAGCAGCTTCAGGATGATTTAATTGCGCGGCTTTTTGATAGTAGTGTGCGGCTGCAAGTTTGTTATCATCGACATTAGCCGCAATCCAACCTAAGGCAAAGTATGCGTTAACGTTGCCCTATGCAAAATCAAAAGGAACGTTAGGCAGACGTCAAGACACTACGGTATATATGTGTATATAAACTAAATAATCCATAAAGATACTGGTAGCAATTATGATTAAAATCTATAGCATCAATACTATGCCAGCTGTTCAATGTAGATTGTAATAGTCTAATCGCAAACTTTATTCATACGCATAAATATTTTAAGCGTTTATATTATCCCTACCATCTTCGCTGCTTTTTCTAAATAAGTTACTGCTTTAGGTACATCTTTCGGAACACCCTGGCCCTATGAAAATGATAATTCAGTTATTTAGTAGAAGTAATTTCTCAACCTGAAGAACTACCGTAATATGTTGTTTCTATAAGGTTAGTGGATGATATGGCAGTTAATGATAGCATAGTGGTATCTGCATGATTCTAATGGGATAACGGAATAAATTATCTACGCTTCATTACTTTAAAGACATTTACCTACCCTCAAATGAACAATTCCTAAATTATAAATTGAATCCGGATCCTCATTTTTAGCTCCCATGCTGTAATACTTAGCAGCTGCTCTAAGATCCCTTTTAACACCTCGATTTCCCCAAAATAGTAATCCTGCCATTTGCGCCTATTTATTGCGATGCATAATTGAAATGATTTAGTAGTCTAAAACCGTTTTTAGTATTCAGTCTGGTATATTAGATAGCTTGATACTATAGATATTAATAAATACAACATTCAGATCATTTTATTCATGTAAATCTATACCTGCGCTGACGTGAAACCCTTTTCCGCTTGGTATTTTACAAATTGTACGTAACCGTCATTAAGCCCCTGCTGTCCTTCTAGATGTTCTGATATCGATAAACGGATTTCCTCAAGATCAACCTACGATATACATACACGTAAGTTTAGATAAAATGGGTTTGTAAAATCTAATTACTTGACTACATTTTATTTAAGCAAGTTAGTGTTTATGCATGTTGTCGTAGACTAATATCCAATTACATCGCCAAAGCGGTGAGCTTCAAGGTCTTCTCTTGTCCTAATTGCAGCTAATTTCAAATAAGCTACGTAAAGAAAGAACTTACATCAACTCCGGATGACCTATGCAGGAAATTTTAACCTCACACAGCAAGTTTTACTTCATTTAAGAGCTTAAAACTAATATCGATATGATAAATTTTGAAGTTAAATCCTAGTAATCTTACCATAAGCTATATCACAAATTATAGGATAGCGGTCGATACCGTGAGCTTGACGAANATAAGTAAATTTAGGCCAAATAAGGCTTAGGGTCAGTTACTGCGGGATAAATTGAGTCCTAGCAACTTTGAGTATACTGCTATACCTTGTCAATATCTACGGGTGTTCCAATACCATTAGTATATAATGTTCCTTGAAAGTAATATGCATCGGAGCTGCCAGCACATCCAGCGTAATCCAATATTTTAAATGCACGTTGATTATCTTTTTTAGTCCGTTCTTGACCTCCCTATAAACATTGTATCAGACTATAACTACCTATATTTCATTAGCTATATGTTATTTTAACATATCTATTCATATTATATTGTATGATTGGAAACAATAATTCATTATGAATAATAGCTATCTATATATAAAAGTCATCTGACCATAATCGCGAATGCTTGGTAATACAGCTCATCTCCTATGGAGGACATATCTAAATCGGTAGGATAGAGTCCCGGAGATCCATTTTTATAATTATTTTTAATTGTTGTATTGACTGCACTGATGACTTCTGGTATGACTATCTCATTTACTGGAGCTAAGCATATCTGATATCGTTCAATATTCTTCCTTAATATTCTCCACATAGCTGAAGGACATGATCCTATTATTTCAATCAAAAATCTATTAGTTGCTTACATGATCGTATTTCGAGACTGAAGTATAAATACGCGTATGCGATAATTACGTCAGTAATCAAACCTAAGATTTCTAAAATACTTTATGAACTAAATACATTATACATGTATAATATATTTTAATTAAATAACTTCAAAGTAAGCAATGAACCCTTAAATATTATGATAATTATTAATAAATAAAAGATGATAAAATCTACAGCGTATAGTTTACCGTATCTATCTGCCTATTTATCAAAGTTGTATCCCAATAATTACTACACGCGTACAAATATGCAATATGATTGTTGCATAATTATTCTTTCAATTATACCAAAGTCAGTATAAAATTTTAATTATCACCACAAGCAATAATCAAAATTTGATGTAGTTATAATTTTCAATGTTACTGTAGTAATATTAAATTATTTCTGAGAATTAAATTTATCTCATGAAGTGATGATAGAAGGATTAAACAATATGAGCACTTGCCGTAATTTCGCCTTCCTTTTGGATTGGCTGCCAAGTAATATTTAATATGTGTTCGCCTAATATCCCTTCTATACTGTAAGCAAATCTTTTTTTGCTGATTGAAGTCTAGTGATTAATCATTAGCGGTAGGTAAATAGAATGTAATTATAGTGTTAACTAACGATTTAGTTCAAGTCTGTAACTATCGTACAGCTATCACATTTTACCTTTTACTAGCTCTGGTGGTTCCTTATGATCTGAAGGTAGCTATACGTATTGATTGCCGTTGGAAAAAAATATATGTTAAATCTCATCTAATAAACTTATAAGTTAGGATCATTACTAATCTCTCATTACCAAATCATAATGGATGCAATGTCTGCGGAATAGAGTTACTTTACTAAGATATCCTGTAAATGACGGAAAATTTTGATTTCCACCTAATGTCCACTGTCGTTCGTTATGATTATAGCGTACTCTTCCAGGCAGTCTAAATTATCAAAGAATAGAATAATCTAATTTTCAATCAATTTCAATTTTACATAAAATTGTCAAATTAATCGTTGTGATAGCTTTAATCCACTGTATTGATTATAGTAACAAAGAGAATCTTAATTTTTCACGCTCTTTATCAAAACTGAAATCTATAACTAATTTCAGACCCAAAGATGGCCTTAATACGAACACTTCAAATCGGCTGACTAATGTTTCATCGTCGCTTGACATATAAATGGTGGCCTATTGAAATGATCAAAACCGGTAAATATGCTATTAATTTATATTGTATATGTTATCCTCTCATATATATAAATTAATCAATTTATAAACAGTTCAGTTTACATAGAGAGGCTTCATAAAGTCGATGTTTTTAAAATTACCGTGTTAGAGCAAATGGTAAGGAGGATATGAACCCATGATTTGACTGGTATTTTCCATCCGGTAAGAAATGCATAAGGTTTGCCTGATGATAATTCAACTTGCACATGCAAATTACCTATATCAAGGAATGATATTCAAGATTACTATATATATATCAGATTTTGGAACAAATTAAAGCTGGACAAAGTAAGGTAATTTATATTAAAATGAACCTATAAGAATTTGATGTGTTTCTAAATTATATTATATTGTCCTGTATCCCACAACAGATAATTAAATACTATATCAGAGAATAAACCTTTCAAATTGTGGCCAGTAAAATCAAATTACCTGCTTTAATTTCGTAAAGATGAGGCGTAAGAAATCTCTCTTGTTGGCGAAATATGATACTGCAGAAGTTATAGGGACATCTTCTAGCGATGTAAACCCACAAGGAAACGGTAACACTATAGAAAATAACGACACGTTTCGTTATAGGAAAATGATCATTTAACAAGTAACAAATAACATGCAGTACAAGCATAACAATTAAATACTACTTAATCTTTATGATTTCGTACCTTGGCGGCATAAAAATATTATCCAACCGTATTGATGGATCGTAATATTTATCTAAATAACTATCGAGACGAATAAAATTTATCGATAAATCGCTCATAGTCATTCGGTAGTATTTTCTAATAAATTTATGAATATTGATCATTTTACTGTATAATTAATGCTGTATCAAATAGGTGAATATTACTTGAGTTATAATTGTTACAGTTAATAAATTATACTACTGTCGAATCGTCGAGATTAGATAAGGATATTTAGAGCAGGCGCTCCGAATATTTAAAGCAGCCACTAATAAAAGGTAGGTTAAAGGTGACGTTTTATTAAATAATACCATACGCCATCGGAAATTGATATTTTGGGGGATACTTATATATGTAAGACTCTTATGGCTATAAATGGATTGAATTATAATATTTTGTATTTCTTAAGTTATTGTGTAATAATCAAGACCGAAAGAAAAATCTAAAACTACAATATTTTACATTTGGATTCAGGAGTTCTTCAATAAATTAATGAAATAAGTTTTTATGTTTTCGTTATAGCCATATGTTGATTAACTTATAATTATGTTTCTCTAATTGCTTTTTAATTAATAAATCTGTCGATGTAATCTAAAAGTGCAATCTGTTATTGAGTATTGATGTTTTGGGTGGAGATTAATTAATGTAGAACTATTGTGCTTGATTTATTACTAATAGTACGCAGATGCTAAGTCTGGATAAGGATATTAAGAAATGATTAACTCAAGATTTATGGTTATCTAAACTGAATAGTACAAGGCTAAAATAAATATTTCTAGTGATTAAAGTTAATGTCAATCTACAAGATCGTTTCTAACTATATTCAATATGCCGTAGAAATTGTAACTATTCTTTTAACCCCTGAGTGCGCAACTACCATATAACATTAACGAGCAAGCTGGGTCTAATAGACCCGACAGTTAAGAATTACATCAATTTAATCATATTTATCAAAAATTATAAAGCTATTTATCCTAAAGCACTTCTAGGTATACGAATACATCAAACTGCTTTTATCAAGATTTCTTGAAAGAACAGTGTTAACCTCGTGATTCCATTCTGTTCTCCAGAAAAGGTTATTGGTGTCTCTACCAAAGTTACAACTTCTGCAGTAATTAAAAAGACAAAAGAGCAACAAAAATCTTTTTCAAAAATATGAAAATTAAGTCGAATAAATATCAAAATGATTCTTCAAGTTTATGTGTGAAATATGCGTAAGAAAGCAGAAAATTTCAACTGAATTTTAAATTTAAATACTTTTATATTCTTGATTTGAAGCTAACAATAACTAGATTAAATATCGGCTACTAACCGCTCTCAATCTTGCAAGTTTTATCCCTATATTGCTCAAATTCGTTTTCACAAAATGAGACAGAATGACCCCAAATGTTCAAAGGATAGATACCATTAATGCTAGCTAAATGAACCGACGAAATACCATCTTCTTCCCACTTTTTTGGCTCAATTAAGGCTGCATAGAGATTAATTTGATGAGCGAAAGCGTCTAATTGGACAATGGATTGGCCAACTCTTAACAACGCAGGCAATAAGACTTCAAAGTATATTACACCTTCTCCAGCAACGGGTATAGATTGATTATTCTGACTCACTTCCCAATGATATTGACGTATGTCAGTCGCTAATATGCGTATTGCCAACATTTTAGGATTTTTGCATTTGTACTTGATAGGTAGTATAATAATTTCCGATGGTACCAAAGATTTTTTAGGTTGAACAAAATCGACATATTCAGCTGGTACAATCTTCCGCCGCCTACTATCACTTCTGTGAGATAATCTGGATAATTGGGCACGGCTAGTAAAATTAGGCCAAACGATGACGATATAAACGAAAATTACCCAGCTTATAGTCGCCTTCATGTTGAAAAATTCGAGACTGTTTCAAGATAATATTGTCTTATTTGTCGTCGCTTGAGTTAAATTTGTTTTTCTAGATTAAAATATTTTCATTTGAGCAAATAGGATAAAATATCAGTAGTAATAAGTAGATGCAATAACTATTCTATATTCATAATTCCAGTCAGCCACGAAGTAAAATGATTCGTACATATAGTATGGTTTCCGCAATTCTATTCAATACTTCACCTAGTTTGGCTTCTATTGAAAGACTCTTCTCGACTGTAACTATAATCTACTTACAATTTTAGATCGTCAATATTCCATCTGGGTTGGTAGTTATGCAAAGCATTCTATTGTATTGACAGTCTTCTGTTAATACTCCAAGATCAATTTAGAAGATGCCACGTAATATATTTAATGATAATCAATCTGGATGAACCATTTAATTTCTTTGATCCTAAAGACATCTGTTGCCATCTGAAGAAAAAATTAATAATTCCGGTTACTGTGTTGATCGTTAGGATTAACAATATGTATAGCTTCTGTGCTATAATAAGAGGATACCAATCCTGTATACTTTTATTTGACAGAAATTAAATCAATGTAGCGTTTGCTCTACACTTTAGTCTATATTTGGTTCATAATATGAGAGTATGGTATTATAATATAGTGAATAATTATAATAGAACTAGTATAACAATCAAAGCGGCATTTTATCTCCATTTTATTAATATCTCACGTATACAATTACGTTCTATAATATGCAAAAGGATAACAATGTCAATACACTATACTATTACATGAGTATAATCAAAGCCGGAGTAATATTTATTCTAGATTTTGGTCTGTATTTAGTATAAAATTTTGGTAGAATAGTACGAATGTAGCATATCAATATAAGCTATAATAGGCTATTTTTACTCGAATAAATCAAAGTTGTTAAAATTCTCTCTCGATTAGTTCATATTCAGCTTTTTATATGATTCTAAACTATAATAAATAAAAGATAAATTTATTACTATTTGATATTGATTGAAGGTGGCTGAAAGTACCCCGGGATTCTTTTCTTAACCCTATAAATATACAGTTTATAATTTTAGCGTGTATAATCGGGGAATAGCAACACCAATACTATATTCTCTTGCTTGAATTAGACTAACTAAAATTTTTTTATAATTTCTTTTACATTTTACGTAGATAATCACACTATAACAAAGGAATGAGTTATTTACATTACAATATCGATAATAAACTCTCGCATGGTGTTACTAGTATAGAATTAAAGCACTTAAATATTTTGTCATTTCGTTTATACAGTTTCTATAATAATCCTAAGTTTTCTTCACCATTTTGTTTACGTATAGTTCACTTTGTACCGTGTATATTGAAAGATGGCCATCTCAGTAATTGTAATCATACTTGCATAAGATCAAACATGAATTGCTAGAAGCACCGAGCATTTCTAGTAGACCACACTGTATGTATGTAAGATCAAAAATTTTCCTTATTTTAGCCCTTTACAGCTACGCAGGTATATGATTTTGAACTATCGTAAAACAATGATAGGACCGTTATTGAATAATCCCCAGTGGCCTCTCAAGTAAGTTTATACTTCTGTAATTGCAATCTAGTATTAAGAGAGAACTATGGGAATATTACAGTCTATACCGTGGCTTAAGTATAATATAAGGTTAGCTCAAATTGTTCTCGATTTTTGTCCATATTTATTTAGTTTGTAATTTTAAAACTGCGATAGTGAAATAACGTCATCGACTAAAATAGTCTACCATATTACATACATTTCCAGCAGTCTATCATTGCAATGTTAATGTACATAATTATTCGTGTATACAGTTTTACTGCATCGATTAGCTCAAACTTTTTCTCATTCTTGATCACGTACGGCTAATTTTAATTTTATTTCCATGTTCTAATCAGGATTTACAAAACAAATACGACAATCTCATATATATTTATGTATGGTGTACAATCTCGTCAGCGTGTTTCGTACAATAACATATATTTGACTGGCTTGAATGGGTTATCCTACTGTAAAGTAATGGAGTTCCCCACAAACAAAAAACAAACCACGTAATACGCTTGCTCGATGAGTTCGCGTTATTTCCATGGCAACGGCTGTTTTCATATGTTACTACAGCTTACAATGATATATAATCAAATAGTATGAGTTAATTGATCATTCTAGACTCAAATAACAAGGAATTCTATGAGATTTCAAGGCCACACAATAGTAAAGTTGTAAGTAAGTATAAATTTATATATTAGTCAAGCATTTCCATAGTCACGGAAAGAAATCTTAGCTCCAAGAAGGCTTGACTTGTATAGCGTGATATTGTATTAGATATAAGCAATTACTGATATTTATATTAGCAGATTAATACCATTAAATCTAGAACAAATTGGTTAGAAGTTCATCATCTGCTACTCCAAAGACTACAAGTTTAACAAATAGGTAAATATTCTAGATAATTGGCGATTCATTAAATTTCTGTAAAATCTTTGCTAGTTTATTGCTTGATGGACCGTTCCCTAGTGTTTTCTTGAAATGAGTATTAAACTATCTGGAACTTATACCTAAATGCCGTTTTCTGGGATTAAAAATTACCGATATCAGCACTTGTTTGCAAAATTAATAGAAGATTAATAATCTGCTTATAAGAAAGACTCGCATTAGTTGACCGATAGCTAAATGGACTTTAAACAACCTGAATTTCATTAAAGTTATAAGAATCATTTCTAGCTCATTGTTAATATACCGTTCGCTAGTATCTTCTCGGTATGCATACAATTAATTAAAACTAGCACGTAGATAATTTTTTTCCTTTAACTGAAATTACCAGTATCTATTGGTTATTGGTTAATAAATGTTTGATTTTTTGCTCTTATATGCTGATGTCATAAACTATAAGTATTATCTAAACTACAGTATATTAGCGATGAATACCATTATCTTCATCGATAAAATAATTTCAACTAGTAGAATTAACACAGTCTATAGTATGGACATCAATTTGTAACCAACACATACAGTACTCGTTGCAATCGTAATAAATACATAATTGCGCTATGAATGTACTTGGATAGTCTGTCTGCACAAAAAGCACTATAGAACACTGCTATCTATCTGTTTAAATTGTGTGATTGAATACAAATTGTGCTACTGTTGACTAACATGTACGATTGGATATGAATTAAGCAAGATTGTTATGTTTAAGAACTGTGTTAAATTACGATATAAAAAGTTTGCATTGAATTGATTTCATTATCAACATGAGCGACACCAGAAATAGAATATAGCCACAATGCTAACTGAGATAGAGATGCTATTTTAAACTAATTTAATCACAACATCTTCTATAAAATAACTATTACAGATAGCTATCAGGATGTCGGTCTCCTATGCACCCGTTAACTTACGTTTGCCTCCTGGATTTCAAAATCTATTGGAAGGCTTAGCACGTGAAGTTTTAAGATCTCAACCGGAAGATTTATATAGCTTTGCTGCGGGCTATTTCAGAGATAGATTGACCTATAGAGAAGGTAATACACCAAATTCTTGAAATCATAGCATTGCTAAAACCTTAGCGTAATTGCAAATGTATACTTCACTATGTCAGATACCGGAATTGATGACGCCAAAATTGGTGCGGAGATGGAAAAACGCATTAAAGGAGATGGCGCTATACCTATAAATTACGATGATCCAAAGGTGGAAAATGCGGTTATAACTATCCAATCAGGCTTTCGAGGCTATAAAGATCGTAAATTAGTGGCAGAGATGAAATCGGAGAAACCTCAAGCTGATGGAGAGACACAAGAAGGTGAAAATCAGACCGAGACGGTAGAGGAAACAGCTACAGATGAAAAACAAGACGATGCAGAGAAAGATAATACGGAAAATCAAGAAATCTTAGACATTGATATGGATGATCCCGAGTTAAACAAAGCTGCAATCAAAATTCAAGCCAGCTTCCGAGGTCATGCTTCAAGGAAAGATATGCAAAAAAGTAAGGATAGCGGTGATGACGAAGAGGCAAAAGTTGAAGATAAGGCTGAAGAAGCACAGACCAATGACATAGATTTCGATGGAGCTGCTATTAAGATACAATCTACTTACAGGGGCTATCGGGTTCGAAGGACCCTAAGGCGATCAAATAGCGCTCCTTTAATTGATCCACGTGAACAATATCGTCATCAAGCCGCTGTCAAAATCCAATCGACGTACAGAGGTCATCGTACAAGGCAGCAATTTCGATCTTCATCAGCAGGAAAAAGGTTCTTATCAAGGAAATCATTTGATGCGAATGAATATACCGCAATAAGTCAAAGCCATGAGTTTGCTACCAAAGATGCAACTGACGCCGCATTAACAGCTACAGAAGATACTCAACCTACGGAAGAAGTTGCAGAAGAAAATGCAACCATAATCGATACGACAGTCGGAGAAGAGAGTACAGAGGTAGCTGATGATGGAAATAAAGTTACGGATCCAATAGCTACCACGGATAATGCAGAAAATCAATTAGAAGGGGAATCGCAAGCGAAAGCAGAAAATCAAGCCGAAGGGGAATCGCAAATAGAAGAAAATCAGCCAGAAGGGGAATCGCAAGCAGAAGCAGAAAATCAGCCAGAAGGGGAATCGCAAGCAGAAGCAGAAAATCAGCCAGAAGGGGATGCGCAAGCAGAAGCAGAAGCAGAATCACAAGCAGATCTAAAACCCGAAGAAAGTAAAGAAGAAGATATTGATATCGATTTAAATGATCCCGAAGTCAGTAAAGCTGCTATTAAAATACAAGCTACGTTTCGAGGCCATGCTGCCCGAAAGAATCAACAGTCTTCACGAACAGACGAAGAAAACAATGAATAAGTAAAATGTGATGCAGCTACACATTCAATTAATACCTTTTTCTCACTGCAGTCCTTAGTAAAATCACAATTAAGCATAAAATGTCTTTAACAGCAATTAAGTGTTACTTAAACATAAAGAAAAGATAATATAGACATGATCTAACTACGATCAATCAATTCAATGTATCAACAATTTTAAACTAATCATCTATTAAATTAACAACTCTTCCATGGACATTACCTTTACATTAGTACCTGAACAATTGTATTATTTTTATCTACTTAATGTACTGTAAACAGGATAGATTAAGCAATTATTCGTTAGCAAACCAATTTCTCCAAAGCTAACTTTTATTATTGGTTGTATAATATTAAATAGATAGTAAATTGAAATAAAATAAAAAACAGGCTTCAAAGTAACGTACTAAACGGCGAGAATAATTTTTATGAGATCTAAATTTAAGATATTAGAGGAACAGAAGAATTTTTGGGTTGTAAGTCTTGATTATATTGAGTCCTACGTGCATCTATCCTCTCCATCATTTATAACATTAATCATCTCGTATACGAGTACATTACTGCCTAAATAATTTAAACGATCTCTCTGCTTGCAGAAACTTGAGAAGGTAATAATTCCAGCTGTATAAGATTGTATTTTTCGATAAATTTAATCATAAAAAACGTAACAATAGGGCCAGTGCTTCCATGTTGTAAGATTCGATATATTTTAGATATTGGTTAGCATGTTATAAATCCGTCGTAGAATTTATTTAGCTCCTTTTGTAGCTATCAGTCTTTCAGTAACGGAGATCTTTTAAATTCTTTAGATTGGAAGCTGTCCCTATCCACTACGTAACCACTTCACTTTATATCTATATACATGTCTATTATTTCATTTTACTGAATAAAATTTAAGAAATAAAGACCAAATCCGTTAAAAGGGCTCTGTCTTAAAATTTAATCGAAATTAAATTATAATTAATTAACTCAACTATCGTACAATCATAAATATCTCCCTTAGCCATACAGGTAAGATATTACTGGTTTAATGATAAATTTCCATTTAATCTTTATTCTCATCTATTAAATGAAAATAGATCAGCAGAATAACAATCAATATTTTTAAAACATCCAAATTTGATTAAAAAAAGGCTAACAATGAAATAATACAGTCACATTTGGTGATACTTTTGATTAATAGATAGAATATTAGGAAAGATTATGTATGACTATTTGTATGGCATAATAACATTGTAGTTAAAACATCAATATCTTTACAACCATGTTGATTTTTAGTTTATTCGAAATTATACTGTAGTTCCTTCAAGCAACAAAATAAGATATCTTACACTTGAATTTTAGCTATACTATTACCATACTAACCAATGTACAAGATAGCATAATTGAATTACCAATGGTAATTATCAAATGCCAATTTGGTAGTGTAAAATATACACGCACCATCATCGATTTAAGTTTATAGATGGTAAACTAGTCGTAATAGATTATAGTACGTATTATCATTTTTTAAATATTTTCATCATTTTCATCAAATTCATCTTCTGATCTCATTTCATCAGCTGCTATCTCGTGTTCTTTAATTAGCTCATTTTCTGCATTTTCTATATCTTCCTTCTCGTCTTCGTCTATTTCCGAATCTTCATGCATCAATGCAGCGCTTTCCGACCTTTCTTCCTGTTTCATCAAAGAATATACAGTAGTTTACTACAATGGCTGATATTGGTATCTTTTATATATATACTAGTAGTTCAAGGAATTGCATACTATGAATTATCGTCACTGAACTCATTCTGTTATAAAATTTATTAACAAATGAACAAGTAGATTCTTAATAGCATAGGATTTGTGTAGCGTCTTTGGCGACTTAAATTCGATATTATATTGTATGGTTGAGCTAATTAATTTTCGCTGAGCATGAAGCATTATTATCGTATTTAAAATAAAACTGTAACAATACTTTTAAATATTTGTATAGTGGAGGATCCTAATGGAGCTATAATTTAAGGCAGGTGTAATAATTTACCGGTATCGTAGATTCTCTTCCCATCCCATCGAATGCATCGGGCCTCTCTGGATTAGGATGCTCTGCCATAGCTGATTCAGTTTCACCATGAATAGTAGCATGAGCCGCGATCAAATATTTACGTTGAGTGTCTTTAACTGTGATGAGGATGTGATTTATGTAAGTCGCAATCCAATTTACTAATCTAGATCTAGCACGAAAGCGGCAATTTAACTTACCTTTTTCTCGAATAAGACGCTTCTGTACTTCAGGAAATAAGAACATGTTGACTAATTCTGATACTATTTCTTGAGATTCAAGTTTAGTCCGGCTATAATAAGTTATAAATTTTGATAGTAATAAGGTCAATGATATTCAATTTCTCATTTTAAAGTCTTCCTGATTAGTGTAAATAAACTTACCTATCTTCTATTTCATGTGCAATTATATTTATTTTTCTTGCAGTTTCCTTAATTTCTTGTACAGCCTGTAATATTAGGGAAAAAAACATTTTGTTAGCATGGAATATTCTTCTTATGAAGGAATCGTAATAAAGTCAATTATTCTATTTACTTGTTCGTCGGCAGTTTTTTGAACGGATTCCAAGATAACAGTCTCCAGATACGAATCGACTGTATCTTGATGGACTTTAACCACCTATCAATGAAAATTCACGGTATTAGTTCATTGAATTGATTCATTTCTTAGACTTATGCAATCCTGCTTTGAAATTGATATCAAATTTATCAATCTAAACGTACTTGTTTGAACATTTCATCTTCTTCTCTTCTTCTTCTTTCTTCAATTTGACGCATTCCACTTTCTTCTGCCTCTCGCATTCGTCTTTCTCTTTCGGCTAACATAGCAAATGCATGTATACGTCTTTCCTCCTAATTTTAAATAACGCTATAATATTTAGCAATGTTTGTTTACTGCTAACGAATTGTAGAAGAAAATGATAAACATACTTGAAGACGGACAAGTTCTTTGCTTAAATAGTCTAGCATTTTTCCTATATTTTCTCCTTGGAGGTTTTCCATGACTTCATTAACAACGAAATTCTACCGAATGAGATAATAAATTATTAAGTGGATCTATAAAGTCGTCTTGCTCATTTTATTTTATATAAAATGTTACAGTAAGATCCACAGTTTTAAGCAAATTTATAAACAATTACCTTATGCTGATCCAGACGATGTTGACGTTGTTTGGATAATACAACTTGCTTTTCATTCTTTTTCATTTTTTGTTGCTCAAGCTTATTATGGTAATCAACAAGATTTTTTACTTTAATAAATTATTCAATTTTATCTTAGTACTTCATGAAGCTAGTAAAATTTAGAATATACCTGTAAAGCATGGGTACTGCGGAGTTCGTCTATAAGTTCGACTCTCTTTTCTTTTCCTTCATACATCTAAGGAATAAAAATTGACAGTGTTATTAATCTTGAAACTAAAATATTACCAAGAACTGTTAATATTTTCATACCATATTTTGGATTGCTCTGCCACGGATTAATTTTTGCAAGAAGGTGACTGCAAGTTCAACTTCTTCTTCACCCTATAATTGTTACCATAATTTAGTAAGTTAGATTTTATAGCAATTGATTTATAGCTATGCTTTTGATATACCTCAGCCGGTGGTGTAACAGTAGGAGTCGGAGGGCGAGGAATAATTTTTTCGATCTTTTCCAGAAATCGCAAAGGTTTTGGTGGTTCTTTCGCTATTTTAATTACAAACAATAAAAAGCAATTTAGCTTTATTGCAATTAAAATGCATTTAGCTAAATAGCAATTCTATACAGGTGTTTACCCTTATGTTTTGCAGCAGCAATAGAATCTGTAATTTCTTTTAATTCTTGTTGCCTTCGAGCACTGCGTCGCGCAACCGAAGATTTACCTTCGTATTTAAGTTTTGGAACTTGAACTCTATATTTAATTTAATGAGAAGAGATAATTTCTTCATTTCACTATTCATGAAAAGAAAATTCTCGTCACAGTCTTATTCTAATCTTGATCAATTTGTTGCTATTTACCTAGGCTGCGTAACGAAGTCGGGTAATGATTGCTCTAATTCTAGAAGACCTTCATAAGTCTCAAGATGGCGACTTTTTACTTTACGCTTCTCTGAACCTTGATCCATGAACACGCCATATCGAGTAACGGGCGCATAAGTTTGAGATCCAGGATCAGCATAATCTTTGCCAATATCTCGACGAGTCAATTTTCCTTCGATATTTTCTCTTTTCGCTATTAATTTTCTTATACCTGCAGAATTTTTATTAATAATTTTAATAGGCTATTAGTTTAAGAATGTAACTGTCTTAAGCTGTATAGGATTTACTTAGATAAATATTATTACCTTTAATATGCTCTCGACGAATATTCTTTATTCGTTCGTCGTTTTCCTGTCTTTTAACCGACCTAATGGAAAATGATTACGTAACAGGTCGAAAGATTTAAATTGAGTTGCGTGAACAGATATTTTCACAATACTATGAACAGATATTTTCAAAATACTATGAACAGATATTTTCAAAATACTATGAACAGATAATAAACCTTTACCATAAGCGATCCATTCGTTTAGTATTTAATTCACTATGATCAGTTTCTCGTTGCTTTAATATTTGTTGAAGTACTTGCAATCGAGCTTCCTGCAATCTAATAAATAGAAAGAAATAGATGAATAAAGATCGTCCCAGTTCTAATGTTGAGGTAAGATGTAAAATAATAATTGATTAACCTTTCTATTTCTTTTTCTCTCATAGCCCACTCTTGTCTTTCTTGTTCATCCATCATCCTCCTTCTTTTATCTGCTTGTGACATGTCATGTAGTGGTGGTAAATTTGCCTCCCTATTAACATAATGTATTGCAAAGTATATTGTTAGCTTCTTAGCAGAGAATAATAATAGTTTGTAAGCTCTATATGAGCACCACATGATCATATTTATTCATGGTATATGTTATATCAGCTTGTATATGTTCTTACCAAGCTCTTTTAGCTCTAGCTCTTTCGATCATTTCAACTTCTGCTAATCCAGCTGGTAAACCTCTACCGTAGGATAAGGTCGCTAAAGTTAGCAACTCAGTTTGAGATCCTGGACGGACAACATATTCAGGAGTGTATGGATCTGTTTGAGCTTCGCTATCCCTATTATTATATTGGAAAATATCATAAGTGCGAGGGTTTATAATCAAATGATGTCTGCATTTATAACCTATTTTAAATTGTGAATTCATTTCTAGAGGGTATCTCATACCTGTACATAGTTTGAACTTCCACAGATCTAGTTGCCGGCGTCGGTGGCTTTTCGTGATAATAATCAGGAGGCTTTAATGGATCGACACTAGACAGCGCCAGAAGTAGTTTATTATCACAATATTTACAGATAAAGAGTGTACTAAAATATCTAATTTTATTGTTGATAAATATATCAAATTCTTACTTTGTAGGTTGCAATAAAACTTCAGGAGGAATTTGTTGTAGAAAAGGGATAATTGGCCTATAACATATTTAGCAAATCAATGAATTTTTAAATTATTTGCATACTAAATAATATCGATTCTTTACATACCTTCTATGATATTTGTAGCGATTGACACCACTAACTTGAGGATCTACGAAGGTTTGTTGCGGGATTCGAACTGATGGATCATAATTAGCCCTATCGTGAATTTATTTAACAAGAATTAAGAAGCTATTTGAAAATTCTTTATAATACATAACAATAGTATACTATATTGGCAAGTAGTGTTCAAGTTACATATGCAACATTACGAATCATGGCTTTGTAATATTACCTTTCGTGTCCGTGCCATTCACGATTAATGAATTGAGGAAGGTTATCTCTTCCAGATAACTGTAATTGACCTCTTGGAAAGCGGTACAAATCGCTAAACATAGACCTGTAAATGGGAACATGTTTCTATATTCGATGATGGATGCATAGAAAAATAACGGCACAAATACGTGTAAGTATTGTAAAATGATCGGAAATATTATCGCTAAAAGGTAATATAGTCTTTTAGAGATATTTTTATATTACAGAAGGTATCATTGGATTGACTTACCACTCGTTCACTTTTCATTTGTGACTTGTAGTTAACTCTTCCATGATCTCTATTACTCGTTAGAGTATAATCGTTGTCTATTGGAAAAAGATGATATATCTTTATATGATAATGGTAAGATAGGATGGTTTTAATTACAGAGTTTGTAGTTTGAAAAGCAATCTTTGACTCTGGTGATTAATGTATTTGTTACAAATGTATTATCCATGACGCAATGATTAGTTCTGAAGCCTCCATTCGCATCATGTTTATCAAGTTTGTCATTTTTGAATTGGTACTTATTTTAGGGATAATTTTTCTTGCTATAGTGATGATAAAAAATTAAACTATTCCTATATTGAAAGAAATATAAGAAACTTGCCATAAAGATGGTCGTATTGTCTATTTTTTTGATAGCCGCGACGGTGGATCGTTTGAGTTTTGGTCGCCATTTCGCCTTGGAGATTACTGAGATTCTGTCCAGAATGTATCTATGGTAACGTCATTCTTGTTGATAACTGGGTACGTACCGTACAGTATTGTATTTGTCTCAGACGTCCCTGACAGTGGACTATTACTCAAAAAGTGCCTTGTGTAGTACAGTACATTACACTTAACATTACAGTACTGTGTACTGTAATGTTAAGACCCACTTCTTAGTCCTACAGTACAGTACAGTATGTTACGGTGGCCCAAGGGGACGGCGTTATGCAGAGATTATGCATCTTCCCCAATTCAGAACACCTGCCGGAGATTTTCAATCTTCTCACGTACGATGTAGTTATAGAGTAAGTGCACTGCACTTAGCTATTAGTGTTACTTGTATCACAATCAACTGCTATGGAAGATAGTCAGCGAGCGAATACTATATCACATTATCTCCTTATAGTAATCGTAACTAAATTTTTCTTAATACTATTGATCTTTTTAATTAATTACTACTCAAACAGTATTTCAAATTTTCAAATATGTGATGCTAGATCAGTTTCCATGAAAATGTCTTTCAAGTTACTTAGTTCAACTTAGGCTATGTTAGGAACATTTATTTTGAAGATTTAATGCGTCAATAATTGTGAAATTCCTTAGTATAGTGTTTGCTAAACCATGGACGCATGCTACTACTCAATGTACATGATCGCAATATGAAATAAAAGCATATCATACTATGGAAGCCGTTCTACAGAAGCGCCCAGCCTATCTAAAATAAGAGTTTATTTGAAATACTCTCCTTTTAGGGTCTCTACTCTCTCTAGGCCAGTATGACTATTTCTCTCTTTTTACTGCAGTCAGCGATGGCTACTTCTACTGTACTGTTCAGCACAGTTAGCTAATATAGTATACGTCCACTCTATACGGCCGTTCATTTGCAGTTCCACAGCCTGAACCACAGGCATAACAGGCCTGCGCATTTTCCCGATTTTGCTGCGCACAAAAATTATTCTTGTCCGCTACTATACAAAGATATACTCGTATTTCGAATACTGTATGTAGTATTCATCTTTAGTTTTAGATTAGACTATAAATTTTGTGTACCAACAGTTGCTAAATCGTTCTAAACCGATTATCAGCAGTAGTAAACGTGACGATTGTATAATGTACAGTCAAAATTCGGAAAAAAAGTTCATGCAAGCTGCGCGCTACTCTGCCCAAGTCTGAAGCCGACGATGCATTCACATTTAATTATACTGTACGTATACACACAGTATACAATATACGTACAGTACTATATTACTAGACTTGATCAACAGAAATGGGAAAGTCCCTGATTTGATTTATAGTAATTATAAGATTTTATCTGAAAGTTGGCGTAACTTTAATTTTTCAATTATAAATAAAAAATTTATCTGCATCTGTTTTAAATTTTTCTCTAGATGGATTAGATAAGACATTTAGGGGCAATACATTTATCTACTATATAGAACACTGTAATACTGTTCTACAATTTAATTTATTTATTACTTTTGCATAATAATATTGTCTAATACTGCGCAGTGAATACGACAGTATCTCCTTTAATTTCATTTCTCATTAGATTCGAATGTGAGGGCACTACCTCTATCCCTGTAAATAACCAAGTTTTTAACACATACAGTACAGTACTTTACATCAGGTATTGAAGTTGCATGATATAATTGGGCTGTCTGGCCAAAGTTGTCAACAAAACACAACTGTGTGAAAAACTACACTGCAAAACTGACAAGATTTGGTTGACGATTTCTACAATCTGTATTACTGTAGTTCTATAGTTCTAACTGACTTTTAAATACTGAATGATTGGTTAATTATCGCCCTTCTTTTATTACTTGTAAAGCCGTCAAGTCCTGCTATTCATTACGTGCTGTACATTAACGGTTCGTGAGTATTTTCTGGATTTTAAATACGCGTATTCCTCTAGCTTAAGTTATAGTTGCATGTCGATCCTTAAGCTGCTAGCGATTATTAATTTTAATAATTTCACTACTTTAATTTCTATGTAAAAGGTAAAAGGAAGTCTGCAAGTTATTTAAATTCCTTATTCTTTTGTAACAAATATAGCAGTACAGCTGTAATAACATAAAACCATAAATCAATCGCTGTACACAGATTGCGATCTAACCGATGTACTGTATGTTTTAACTATGTAAATTTATCTCTGGGTGCGCAAAGATTTTCAGGAATACAGTGTTGTTATTTGTCGTATTTCTCTGTAAAAATGGATCGACTATCAAAAATTCAATGCGGTACTCAACAAGTGAACATTAGCAATGAATTAATTAATATCCTGATGGCTTCATCTGACGATATCATGTATCCTAGTCAATTCATTGCCATTAGCAAAGAACGTTGGCAACAGAATGATCAACAATTTGGGCCAGATCTTATAACTCCAATCATTTCTCTGTTCGAGTTATTGGCACATTTGAAAGGCAGAGACATGTCAGCTATGCAAAAATTTTTACGCAGTTATTCTGCTATTTTGTGCTGGAGACATGAAGTATTAAAAGTGAATACAAAATCGATGGAAAAAGCAAAGTACAACGACAGTGATACAATAATGGAGGCTACGCTAGAAGAAAATCGACGTTGTGTTCGAAGTGAAGAAAATATGATAGCATTGCTTGCTGATGAATTATGCCTGGAAACTAGTCATATCTTTAAACGAATGTGTATATCAGAATTGAAAGTGAAATTTTCTATACTAAGATCTACAAAGCACTTATACAAATTAAACAAAAATCATTCTATGGCCATGACCGAACATTACGACAATACATTCAAGCCACTGTCTTATTATTATTGGCAGGAAGATGTTGATAATACCTGGAATTCACTGGATGATGATAAGACATTGGAAAATCATCAATTTGAGAATGACAATCTGCAATCGATATTTAATGGTAGTTTATGCAATAGTGATCAGAATATTTCATGTAGCCTAATTGGCAATGCACCATGCAATAAAAGCTCAGTAGAAATAGATTCTATAATCACACAGCAGAGTAAAAATTGTAGACATGACGATGATTACCAAATTTCTCCCGCTGCAGAATATGATTTCAATAATTTATGTCAAACAATGCAAGGACATAATATCGCTATATCGTCATTTTACAAAGAAATTGCAAATAAGGATAAAACTCTCATCGACAGCAAGATCCAACAGGCTCAACCACTATCTACTGATCAAATCGATCGAAAAGTTGACGTCAAAGACGATGAAACTTCGACAGCGCAGAAAGATGATTGCGATGTTCAAGCAAATGTAGGTGCAATAATAATTTAGTACATGTGCTGTAGTGGTTATAATTCAATGCTTGTATGGTTTATACGAAGTAGCTTATAGCCGAAGTCTGAAGATGTAGCGTTCCCTTTATTGAAGAGAATTTTAAATTAGCTAAAATTTGTGAAGGAGTAATAACTTGGAGGTTGTAACTTCATCCTAGTAGTAGACCTCCTGTAAATAGTAGTGTTTAAACTTAAATTGATAGCCATTTTATTTGCTATTATTATCTTTTGTAAAGCATTACAGTGAGAGTTAGTGTGCACTACACAGAAGTACTACGTCTATGCTAGCAATTGCATATCTCACAAAATTGATTTATTAAAGTATTTCAGCATGTAAATTTCATTACTGTATAATTGCATTATCCTTTAGAGCAGTAGATCGAAAATGCACTTTTAATAAATTTCTCTACGACTTATTGTAACATTCCTTATTTTTGAATCAGTCATGGAAAGAAAAGCAAGTTTTAAAGGTTTATTTGGAGAATTTATGTCGTTTATCGCATGAATCGCACTTGAGTATCGTTGCAACACCTGATGGCTGTAGCGGAATCGTTTCATATTGTCCCCAATCCAGTTATGGCTGGCCGAAAATTTTTCGTTATTTATTATATCGAGAAATCTGGATGGTTTGCAGTTTGAGTGAGCAAGCATTAATCATGTATAAAGGTGTGATAGTCAATATAGTAACGTAATTATGGGAAATGCGTTATTTTGACATAAACCAATCTAACTGTTAAGTCTCTCAAACTTTTCTAATACTTCAGATATGACCAAGAACGAATTTGTATGGAGACTCCCTTTTCGATTTATCGCTAATGTTGCTTTAGCTAAAAGACATCGAAATAGAAAGTCATTTTTCATTCAGCATCTGCACTATAAAATTACACTCAAGACAAAGAATAAAAATTGCGCTGCACTGTGGGTGTACATTATTACTTGGTCAATGAATCAAACCAGTCCGTCGTGGCTTCCGTCATCAACTGACGCAGATATGCATGAAATACGTACAATACATTGCAAATAGGCGAATAGAAGATCAATTGTGTCATTAAGATCCCTTTTAGTAAGTACAGTGTATAGTCATAACTTAGTTTTTTAATGAACTAGATTAGCGTGTTTCTCATTCCACTCTTGTTGTACTGTATATTCCAATAGTTGATTACCGTTACTTGGTCTATTCTATGATTTGTATCATTAATTAAGTTTGTATCAAGCCATGACACTGTTTGTGTGTAATACCCATACATAGACTGCTCACCGGCTTGTGGCATTATTCAATTGAGTAAATCAGTGTGTATTTGTAGTCAGGCTTATTTATACAATTTATCTATCTCAGATCTAGATACAATACTATTTGTAGCCTGCATTCTGCTAAAACTATCAACTACTGTAAAGTTATCGTATAAGAAAGGATGGTATTTCTTAAAGTAATACAAAAGGCAGGCTTACTGTAACAAAAAATGCTGTCCGGTGATACTCGATAAGTAGCTTTCATGTATCAAAAAATTTCCACATTTGATTATAGAATAATAATTATTCGCATTTATTATCCAAATTCTATTAAGTTAAATCATTTAATGTCGTAAAAACATTATCAAAGCTGTCATAATAATATCATGTTGATAATAGCTATGAGTAAATGAGTAAATATTCATTCTCTTTAGCTCTTTATATGTTTCTTTCGATGGTAGCTAAACAAATCCGTGCGATTTCAACTTTTCTACGAGTTCACTGACATCCTCAACCTTACTTCCGGCTTGACGTACGGGGGGATCTTCCACACTTAATGTTTCCGTTCGAGGCGAGATATCTACACCCAAATCCGCTGGAGTCTTTACATCTATCTTTTTCTTTTTTGCTTTCTGAATAAATTATTTAAGAAGAGTATATTAGAATTTACGTAATTTTTATCGCATGGCGTATTCATTCAGAAGCTATTAATTATTCGAGTGTACGAACCATGATATTTGGTAATGTGGCATAGCGAGGTTCATTTAATCTACCCATGAAAATATAATTCACCAACAATTAGTAAACGAAATAATCATTATAGGTTATTAATGGCGGAACGTGCCTTTTTCGTCTCAGTAGCTTGCTACGGCATACAACTTTGTACTCATAAGGTAGATTAAAGTATGTTGTATAGATTTTGTTGATTTCATTGCAGGGTAATACTGTATTCCAATAAGGAAATTTTGTAACAACTAAAATTGATGATATGCATTAAAGAGCTATGATCTACCTCAAATCCGCGGATACTACAGCCGGCATGTTTACTTTTATCGTTTCTAATCCACCATCAACTTCACGAATGACTTTCATACTGTCGCCATCAACTGTAATTTCTGAGGCAAAAGTTGCCTATTGTAAAAATAATACCATAATTAATTACAACTGTTCATTTCTATATAAACTTTCAAGACGGTTTTTATATACTGTAAATTATGTACCTGAGGCCAATCCAGTAAAGCTGCAGTTAGCTGGCCGGTTTGGTTACAATCATCATCAATGGCCTATTCAATTGCATATAATCGCAATTATAGGTTAATCCACATAGAGGGTTACCAAAAAATTATAGAACGCAGTAACGGAATTTTGAAAGGCCGGTACTATATTTAAAAAACTTGTGCAATACGCGTAGAATATTAAGATGACGAGTCGTTTACCTGCTTGCCAACAATGATCAAGCCTACGTCCTCATCTTTAGCTAATTTACTAAAGATTTTAGCAACACCTAATGGTTCCAACGTATGGCTTTCTGGTTCAGGCACTTCCACGTGAATTGCACGATCAGCTCCCATCGCTAGAGCTGTTCTCAACGTTTCCTACAGCATTACAGACAATGCAATATTAGTTGCAAAAATCACATGGATTGTAGGATAAAAATTGTATGTATCTTATTTGGTCTACCTGACATTGCTTAGGTCCACAGCTGATTGCAACAACCTCTGAGGCTACTTTTTTCTCTTTAAGTCGAACTGCCTATTGATATGAATACAATAAACAGTACATGAGTCATAGATCAATCTTTTAACTTTAGTAATTATAAAATGTTTCTGTACAAACTTCTTCAATAGCAATTTCATCAAATGGGTTCATACTGTGCTTGACGCCATCCGTTACTACTCCAGTCTTATCAGGCTTTACACGCACCTTTTAAGAAAATGATACATACGAACATCGATCAATGCTGTTTCAAGAATTGTTGAAAGTAACTCCATACAGGTATAAAAAAATTAAACTCAGAGGTTTGTAAATATGCAAGGAAAGATAAGTGCTCGTAATTGTAGGAGAGTTGTGCTACACGTTGTGTTATTAATAGGCATCATCTTAAAGATAAAGTATTGAACTACTTATACTGTATTATTAACATTAAGATGGATTTAGGTGAAAGTTGCAATACGAATAATTTGACTACAGTCAATACTTGTATTTTACAGGTCTTGATGGTATTCATTTCACCGAATCTACTTAACAATTCGACCTTAAATACTGTAGTTTAGAAGGGTTACTATAAAACGAAAGACTCGATTCTAGTGTTTTATTCCATTAATGAAAAGCTAAGATATTTCGATATTTCGTTACATTTATGGACTAATCGAATCGGTCAGTTCTATATTTTAGTAAGAATTAATCCTTGAATTAAATTATGCCGAATAGTAAAAAAGTATTGTGTGACTAGACACTGATAGCCAAGTAAATAAACACTAAATTAATATACTCGTTAACATTGCGGCATTGATGAAAGTACAAATATTATCGATGGAAGGATCAGAACGGTTTGTAATACGTTATTACTGCATTTTTTACACAAGTTTTGATGACCACAATCCTCAGTATTAATTCATGGACTATTAGAAGAAAACTGGTTTTCTTCCAGTAGTCATGATTAATCCAACTCGATATACGGTTGATATCGCCCGTAGCATCGACGTTACGGCCAGTTTCCTATCAGGCTTATCAAGTCATGCCACGAAAGAAACTTACTCAAGAATGGAAACTCCACTAGCAAATGATTTTTTCAAATCAGAATATACAAGATCATCTGCTCTATCATTTAAACTATCTGCTACCATTAGACTAAGATCAGCAGTGAGCTGATGTACATAGAACAAGGTTTAAAGTACAGTACAAAACGTCAACTATCTTACTAACCCATTTTTCAGTAGCTAGTATACGAGTACTGTAGTATACAGTACAACTACTTCATCGAGCATCTACTCTATTACTAATATTTTATGACTAAAGCTTTTCTAAATTTTATGAATGCATTTGTAAGGTTGGAAAGAAGAGAATTTAGCTATAGCCATTAGTCTGCATGTTAGATAGCTCGCAAGAGAACAAAATGACCTTATTACTACAAGGATTTGGCACAACATTGTGTCCATTGAGGGTTGAGCAGTATGCAACTGCATTGTACTTGCATACTGTTGAACTCCCATTTTGTAATGTAACCCTTGTCCAACTGGACTCATAGAACAGTAAAGGATATCTTCAATGGTTAAAAGATTGGATTAAAATTACAAATTGAACTTACTTTAACGGCATAATCAATGACACGCTTGCAACCAACAAGAACTCTGAGAGCCATATTGCTAACCGTTGCGGGGGGACGTATTAAGTGATAGATTGAACGTTGGCCGTGGCTGTCACCCAGCTTTTCGGGCTGAGGGGTTAACAGGGGTTGACTGGTTAACACCTGTTTGACTTCAACACCGTGCACAGTCATACTACTGTTGCACAATGGACTGTATCAGCAGTTCAGCACCACGCTGCTACGGTCACAGGAGTCTAGTCGTGGGTGATTGGGCAGCTGAGCATGAGCAGTATACACTACCCGTACAGTACTAGGACACGAACTGTACAGTACTTGACGCCCCGGGTACTGACTGTACACTACCGTATGTACTTTAGTACCTCGTAAAGCCAGTCAAACAGGATCCGATCCAGCTATTGGACATAGTCAACATACGGTGCAAAGTCCAAGTTTCACGAAATGCTTTTATACTGTACTTGTATACAGTACTTCAGTCTTCCGTCATGTACCTCATATTAGTACAGTACAGCTTGGCGTAGATGGATTGTTAAATGTTGATATCGATACTTTGACATAAGCAATCCAGGAGAAATACGTTGATTAGTCTTCCACATCAACTCATTATATACTGTATAATCATTAATTTTCTTCTCATTTCATCCCATAATTATTGTTATTGCTGTTTTATGATATGTAGTCAGACTGGTGTTAATCTTTATTTTTCTTTTAATTGTGATTGCTGTTCTATGCCGTGTAGTCAGCCAGACGTTATGCTGGGGGGGAATTGGCCAACAATTTGCTAGCAATTTGTAATAATGACTATGAAAACTACTCCAGCTTCTATGTTGAGGTCTACGGACAATACATGCGAGCACTGTAGTATGTAGATCCCCAAACCCTCCTCCGTCAATTAAAGCTTTCATTGGTTACTATCTTCGGAATCAGTCATCATTATTTTGTAATAATGCAAGCAAATGACAACAGTAGTTCTTATAGTCATTATTACAGAATACCTGTACTCGCATCACCCATCCAGAGTGCATTTATTATACACGAGTACTGTTTATAGCTTGACAAAATTGAAACCAATAATATCTTTGCCAATAGGCAAATAATGTAAGCTGGTTTCCTCTTGATCTCAATCCAATCATATAGTCGAGCGTATCGTATTATTCTAGAATCAAGACCACATTGAGTCAGCTATTATGCCATTTTCTTGACCGCGAACGCAATCGTCCACGAATAGTTTGTTTACTATAATTACATTACGTAGATACGACCACCACAAGCACAGATACATGACAACCTAAACTTAGATTTCTCCGAAATATGTAGTACTGAAGCTAGCTGATTTTATTTTGCTCATAAACGCGCATATAATACTCGAGATGTTTTAGAAGTAATACCTTGTTAATGCTAGTTATTCCCGTAAAGAATAGTTGAAATCTTTCCATTTATTACATGCCAGTATGCCATAGTCGTTCAATATTTCGTATATTGCATGTAATATTATTTATAAATATAATACATAAAATGATAATAATAATAAATTATAAATTCCCGAATACTGTAAATGATATGCTACCTGTAGATGTCATCGGTTTCAACTTTACAACTGCATTAGCTCTAGAGAACACCGTTACTTTAAGCAAATGAAATTATCTTGCATTCTTTTTTTAATATGAAGTACGGTATATTAAATATCTTCCTATGCCGCCTGGGTTACCAAATAACAACTATTATTTAAGATGCAACTTCGTTTAGAGCATAGAATGAAGATCGATCAAATTGAGCTATATGGACTATAAATGTAGAAATGATAGCCTATACATGTTCGGAATACATTGTATAATATCTTCGCTAAGCAATAGACTGTGTATACAAAATTTAAACCTGTATGCAATAATAAAAAATGGTTGTCAATATACACTGTACACTAAGAATATTACAGTCATGACGATATACTCAATTGGTATTGCTAATAGATACCAAAAAGAATGCTCCTATGATTTATGAATTACAGTTGCATCGTGCAGTAGCTTCCCAAAAATAGAGTAGCAATAATATATAGTGCAGGGACGCAGTAAAATAGATAGGAGGTACGTGACTGATTTTGAAAATTTGTCAAGTCAGTGAACTTAAGTCTTATAAATTTTTTAAAATGGATATACACTGCTACTCGTCATTAGTTATATAAACTAAGGATAAGTTTTAATTAATGGCTTCGAATAAATTAAATATAACTCTATAAACAAGTAGTATCACTAAGTTGACATTAACTAGGAAGATTAAATACATGGAAGATGTTCCAACCAATCAGTAACCAAGCATCAAAATTTTAACTTAAACAGTTAATAAGATGGGCACCATCATGCTGTCATAGTTAGTCCAGATTAAAATGGTATAACCTAATAATCACTGAGATCTCCATTAAATTCATCAATTAAATTATGATCTTCTTCAAAATGACGAAGAGCGTTCATGGTTTCGTTAATTTCGTTTAAATCAGATTCTTTGATCAAATCGTCGTTATTCCTATGAATTTGGTATAATTATATCAATTACTAATCACTTTCCATTCAAAGATTAAAAAAATTTAACGAAATACTCACATAGGGGAACTGTTTACGTCGATTACGCTTTGAAGGGATTGTTTCTCTAACTATACTCATAAAATAAAGACTACAGATTACTGATACGGAAAAAATTTGCGCTATAATACATATAAATTACGGCATATATTTTCAAAGCAAGAATTAAAGTATATAACTTATTTTAACTACCTGCTGCCTTTCCTCGATCTTCCTATGTAGTCTATCTAGTGCTTTTTTGCGCCTTTTCAATACCTAAAGTATATTGCAGCGCAAATAATTATATTACCTTATTACAATCTAATAGATTAATGTTAAACTCGACATAATGCAAAGATTTACAATGACTTTAGCATCTGCAAGACCAGTAAATTATTTACCTCTTTACGAGCTTTAAGCTCTTCCTCTGCTTCTTTCTTCCTTCCTCGTTCTAAGTGCTCGTTGGTAACTTTAAATATAAAAAGAAACAAATTATGCAATGATACTTTATTCAGGATGTAGAATAGTAAAATAAGGCAAATTCTGTAAGAATCAATCATTAGAATTTAGATTGCTTGTCTGATAAAGTTATTTTGTTAAATTAACTCACGTTTATCTTCTTGAGGAGGATTGTGTGCATAAGTAATATCTATGAAGTAAAATAGATGAATTCGTAATCATTAAAATGGTCATTGTATCATCCAACAATGCATCAATTCGTATTTATGTAACCATATCTATCATTGAATTACTGCATGATACTCTAAAATTCCAAAGACTGAATAATTATAGTAGCTACCACTTAGTGACTACAAAGAGATAAAAGTAATAATTCAAGGGGAATATTATTGAGAAAGTGATGGATATTTGGCACATTCGTAAATCCAAGTTTATGGTGACGTTTACAATTACATTATATTAGATGAATTCATACTTAATTTTGACTCTGGAGCTGCTTCTAATTTCTGTGAAATATTCAAATGCTCTAATGACGATTGAACATTGGATATTGGATCGATTGCTTTCCAAAATTGCTTCGCAAGCTCAATATCATCTTTTGAGCTACCTTCAAACGCTATTGTCGCCATATTTATGTTACCCTAGTAACGTCCGCGCATGCCTATTTTCTATATTATTAACCGTCAGAAACGGTAGTCGGCGCAAACGCGATGATGACTCCTAATATTTGCAAAATAATTTGAACACCGACTACAAATTCCATCTTTTAATCGTTATGATTTATGATTAAATAAGGATATCTCAATCTAAAGAGAAGATATGGCCCTGGTATTTGGAATAGGAATTGGCCTATTTATACTTATTATACTTTGGTCAGTGACTTTATTGGGCTGTTTTATATTGGCGAGAGGAACAAATTCATCGTAAGTTAGATGATGCCAATTTCAAACTAACAAAGTAGTTAATTTTTATAAATTGATCACTTATACGCAAAATTAAAGCTTCTTACCATTAATAAAATTATAATGAAGAACCCGTAGTAATAGGGGGAATGAAGGCATAGTATAATAGAAGCTAGTGATATCACTATAATAATTATACTGCATCGAAATGTTGAAGAAGAATCACTGTAGCGGCAGTAAACTGTAATCCATTGACATAGCACGGATTCTGCAGTAACCGAACAAATAGCAACAGTCGTAGCACTTGATCGATATTAATCGGTTACGGTAATTTAAACTCGTCTCAAATTATCATTTCGAATTAATTTCTAAAACAACAAGGAGGCAGTAAATACGTTAGGGTGCCTTAACGAATCTTGAATATTTGATTATCTAAATTAGATTGGGGTAATTATTGTAATACCAACAATCGTTTAGCAACGAAATCCTTACTCTTTCCTGTATAGGGGTGGAATCTTCGGTTTAGGGTTCCTAGCGGCGATTGTCACGGCGATATTAATTCTCTTTCCTAGAGCATCTCAGTCAGAAGCTGCGACTCTAGATAACACTGTAAGTGAAATTACTCGTAACAGTACCTGATGGTGTTTTCTTATTGCTGTATCTATACTCGCGACTAAAAGCTTTAATAATATCACCTTTGTTACAATAGCGCTGCTTCTAATATTATTGATGAACATGGAAAGTTAATATTTCAATTTCCATTTACAGCTATACGATGAATATCTCATTGGTCGGTCAGTACTACTCGGAGTAATGTCACTATTCTCAATAATTTGTTTGTTGTTAATGGTCGTATTCCACTGGATGGAACCCGTTTATGCCATCGAACCAAAGAAGAGCTTGTATTAACGTTTTTATGCATCACTTGCTGATTTTCTTTAGTTTAAAAATTTACACTATCTCCTATTGTACAATATTTATTTGAGGTAGTCGATGAGATAAATATTATTACAACCTTTATATCATAGTTAAAGGAGGCAAAATAATTTCAGTTGACTCGGGATATGAAATTATAGCCGCTGTGTTACAGAAATGGATTCTACGTTGTTGATTCTCATGGATTACGATCACACTGACTGTAACGTACTGAATTATTGTATATAAGCAATCTAAAGGTTTCAGCACTGGGCGGAAGCACTACGGATTGTAAATAATAGTGATACTATATAGTGTAAAAGTACCTTAGCACCCTTGACTATGAGTTCCGTGCTAGGTAGAGAAGAACTGAATTTGAATGTTTTAATTACGGATACACCTAACACAAAACTTACTTAAGGTACAATCATTATTGTCATATGAGCTGCAAAATGGCAGTGTTGCTGTATAATATATCTTGAAGTGTTCTAAGCTTGTAAATACTCATATTCGGGATTTAAGCATAGATTAAGCGATGACAGATTTGTAAAAACAAACCAGCACGAAGCAAAATAAAGAATTTCTTAACTATGACATTATGTTTTATAATACGTATATAACTAGGTGGTTTCTAATGGCTGTTGAATTCAATGAATACAAGATAATGTAAGAATAGGGATTGTAAGGTGAGGAGTACAAGATATGGTAAGGATTCATGACTGTAACCAAAAATTTCGATCCAGTAATCAAAAAATCTCTGGAATGATGTTTTATTTATTCAATAATTACAATTTATAATGATGTTACGACGAGGTTAAATGTCAAATAAGATTAAATATCACAGGCGATAAAAAAGCATCTACAGTAATATTAGGTATAAACCTAATGCGTTTCAATAAAGAATTAAATCTACTACACCAAACAAGAGGGATAAGGCAATAACGGTATAGCCAGTCTTATAAAGCGTCGGTAGATTGAATCCTTTACCCATATCCCATATCTAAATGTTATAAATTGAAGATTGATTACAACTATTAGATCAAGGATGTATATAGCTATTTTATCGAAAAATGAATCTTAGAGTAGCTAGCTATGTACAAGTAAAGTCCACGTTAATATCTTACCAAGTGACGGACTCCATTTATCGCGTGATAATATAATGGAAAAATAAAGCCACATTTAAGTGTAAAGGGTACTATGGCTGGAAGGGTTTTCCAAACTTCGATATGTTCTGCTAACGTACCACTAGACGACATGGTGTATATAGCGAAAGTAGCAGCATCTAAGATAATCATCAGTGACAATTGATTATTACTTTTCACTAGTAATATTGTGGAACGTGATATAAAAGTTAATAGTTTTATTGATAATAAAGATGGAAATGTATTAGGAGCAACAGGTCTATAATTTTAGATAAGCATACTAATAATAACACGTACATGCCGATAAAATCATTCCACTTGCGCGATGGGTGATTGACATCATCGAAGTAAGCTGAGGCCTAAAGATGGCAGCAATATAAAGAGAGAAGTAAGTTAGGAGTTAGTTTACTAAGTGCCTCTAACAGAGAAAGGCTAAAAGAAATCATCTTGAATAGCGAGATCAACATGATAGGAACATACTTATAAATAGTTAAATGAGGCGACATTGGGCGATTTAAACGCTTATTCTTTTTGAAGAAGTTATCTTCTGACGTACTAGTCGCCGTGGACATTGCAATCCTAATAAAAAGAGTCGTGAGTAGGAATAAAATGTTATATCTACACTATCTTTAGGACTTGAAGATTTATTGAAATATTTTCAGTATCGTCCCACAGTAAAAGATCAATAGTCTAGGTGGAGTAGGCGCACAAATACATACGCGTATAGGCGTATGTATTACTGTACTGTACTATCGATAAAAGGTAGAATGATCTACATTATTAGTCATCGTATTTACGTAACGCCAATGCTTGTTAGCAACAACTGATTTATTTTAAAAGTACTACGTTACATGAAATTTGATATAAACAATATATACATATAACCGAAGTATAGATTGGCTTTAAGGTAGTAAATCTGGCGTTCAATTTGGAATTTGTTGATTACAGTTATTACCACACGAACCGTTGTCATCTGAGTTCGTAGTGATGTTTCAGTTGAAAAAGTAACTATCGATTATGTGGCATCACATTGTTGACATGATTGTTAAAGAACATGCTATAGGTAAGGATATAACATTAACATCTCTATACTGATAGCTATAGTTAGGGCAATCCATAATATATATACAAAAGCTAAGGATGAATTGAAGGATATTTGCCTCAATTACAATAATTGAATTTTACCTTCGAGGAGCTACAGATGTCAATCGGACGACCGACAATGAGCTGCCACGCATAAGAAATAGCCGACTTGTGCTAATAAGGATGAAATAATATTCTTTAAAAGTCGTTTCAAATCTTAATTATCAATCAATTGACATTACGGCAAAGAATATTGACAAAGTTATAGCATTTACCATATTAGATTGACGGCCATGTTTGACTCTCTGGGGGTTAAAGTCAGGTTGTGGTCCTGTACCCTTCCGTACAGTACTGTAGTGCTGTAAAAAAAAGGGTTGATCACAACACTCGTAGCAGCTAATCAAAGAAGAATTTATGTCTTTATATTTCCTATATCGCGATGTGCCATACCATACAGTTCACTAAGTATGTCGAGTTATGGACTACGTACAGTACAGTAGTAGTACGTGCTACAGTACATGTACTGTAGTCTCACAGATGCTTGCTTTCGCAGGATTACTCTAGTCAAATCCTTATCTGCTATACTTATTTGTTGGAGTTAACTACGTAAATGTCATGGTCCAAGTACTGTAAGGGCCCGGGCAATGTACTGTACTGTACTGTACTGTACTGTACAGTACGAGAAAACTTCTACAGTACATTTCTACGTACTGTACTGTACTGTACAGTGTACAAGTGTCTACAGTACAGTACAATCTACAGTTCATTTACTGTAGGCATACTGTACTGTACACTGAGTACAGTACTTACTGTACAGTATACTGTACATGTAGTTTATACAGTATGTTGTGGCAAACTATCCTAGGTTTTGAGCACAACATAAGAGTATACAGTATAACCTATCGATGTTGTGGCCAACTATCCTAGATTTTCTAGATAGGTTTTGAGCACAACATACGAGTATACTGTATAACCTATAGATGTTGTGGCCAACTATCCTAGGTTTTCCTAGATTGGTTTTGACCACAACATACGAGTATATAACCTATAGATGTTGTGGCCAACTATCCTAGGTTTTCCTAGATTGGTTTTGACCACAACATACGAGTATATAACCTATATATATACAAAATTCTTTCATCACTCGATATTATTCGTTGCCCAAGCATCTGCCTTTACGTCATTGCCTTCTAAGCATAGGCTTGAGATGACGAATAACTTGATGAGATCGTCAAGTCTATGATATAGAAACGAAATTGTCTCAGAGCTCAACTGAATCATTGTTGTCGTCTCAACCGTGCCGTGTAATACATTACAATATACCATACTGTCCAACCGGCGTTCTTATTAATTTTTTGAATCAAACATCTACTTTGCATAGGTCGTGACTTCCTGTTATTTAATGAAATCTTATAACTGATAGATGCCTTTCTGCAGCCTGATACTGTTGCCAGTCTAAACGTACAATGCAATTGTTACGATGCGTAAGCTCGTCCTAATTATAACTTTAAAAGGATACTTTTATATTATGTGCACCGGGAGTTTCTGACGAGACTATAAAAGGCTGGTGCCTGAAGATTCCTTTTTAGTTCGTTAGTCGGTTAGATAGTCAACTAGTTTTTCAATTGATATTTAATTGTAAAGACTATAATCTTGGGTGCCAAGATTCCTTCAGTAATAAATGATAGTAAATCTCTGACTATCTCGTCTACATCATCTGTGACGTTATAATTGTACCATAGTATTCGGTCGTTGGAACTGAATTATTTGGTGATATAGTTAATCTCGCCTCCTTAAGTTAGTAAGTGGCGTTCTCCGCAAGGATTGGCGTGTGTAGACTACTTTGTCACTAGTGGTGTGTGACAGCAATATACATCTGAACCATAGTACATTCACATTAGATGACATACACAAAATATTTAAGGGTGTTTATTATTCGATGAATATATTCATTGAGCAAATCAAAAAGGGTATTCAAATCTACGACAAAAAGTATGTCGTATTAGATATGTATTGAGAACGAATAAAGCATCACAGTTAATTGGTGTATTCAACAAAGTTATATACAAATCCGGTAGAGAAACAGTTGACTAATCATTATTTCAAGTCAGTACTGAATTCGAATTAGTGCCGTATCCATTTACTTTATTGCGTGGATCTTGTTTTAAGGCTCTCCACACATTGTATCCGGCATTTACAGTACTTTAATTTATTAATTCTGCATTGCAGCAATTTCAAGTCGGTTACCGTTTAATTCATGGCGTATTATGGTACATATACAAGCCTGGTAACATCTATCGTATACCTGGTGATGGATATGTTAGATACACTTCAATTTGTTAGCTCTAGAGTAATTTAGCTGAAAAGTGTTAATAAAATTATATACGCGCAGAGCGCGATTAAAATGTTACCGCTCTAACTTTAAATCGTTTAATTTCTTTGTTATATCTACTTCCGTCTTATTATTACTGCATTTAGCATTTTTATATCCTTTAGTAACTGGATAGAAAATTTCTCTATTTCCTTTCCTTAGATAGGTTTCCTTGCTTACGTTTGTAGTTGATTTTGTAACACCTATTGATTTGGCATTTGTACAGCTAGCAACTTTTTCGGTGTCAACTTTAGCAGTCTGAGCGGGCCTATGCTGCTTACTCATATCTGTTTTATTTACTATTGATTTAGAAGTTTGGGTAGCACTTTGATTAATAACATTTAAGCCTAAAGCATCTTGGTCTTTTAACAATTTGGCGTAGACCAGTTGTAATAGTTTAACATCAGTTAGTGCTCCATGCCCCAGCGATCGCGAAGACTTATCAATATTAAAGCGATCACATAACGAATCAAGTGAGGCTGGTTGTCTCGGATATAATTTTCTAGCCATCAGCATTGTATCAATAACACGTTCGAAAGATATTTCAGGTATATTCAGTTTTTGAAATTCGTTATTGATAAATTTGATATCGAAATGGCCATTATGAATGATAAGGGTATCTTCTTGAATAAAGTCACGAAAGTCTTGTACTATCCCATCGAAAGTAGGAAATCCTTCTAGAAATTTGTTCGATAGATGATGTACCTCAAAGGCCCTTTCTGAGACTGGAAATTTCGGATTGATATAGCATTGGAATGTTCGGCTAGTTGGTTGATGATCGATTAATTCAAGGCAACCAATTTCGATTATTCGGTGGCCAGTTCTTACGCTTAAACCAGTAGTTTCGGTATCCAATACCACCTCTCTAAGAGGTGATAAGTTGCTGAAAGATGTTAATTGTCAAATTAGCAAAGATTAAAATGTCAGGTAGGTACAGTACTTACTGCACTATTATGGCTAAATGGAATAGAAAGATCATTATTTTGGCTATTCTATCAACGATTAAAGTCAAAATTATTCCATATTTGCATTGCTCCTCATAGGCAACAGACGGGTTCTCTCCGGTTATTACAAATTACGACTATGTATTCACAATTTTATTTTTTCATCTTAAGCCTATTTTAAACTTTGCCGAGATATTCACATAGTATCAAAGTTCATTACAGAGTAATTCAGTATCGGGCTCTTTTGTTGATGTCTCTTGATGAACGTCGGGACATTAAGGGTTCACTAATCTCTTTTTCGTAAGGCATTGATATAAAATGCTGAGTACTGAAAAGTTAATTTTGCACTGACTTTGCACTGGCTCGCTTACGACTTAGTAATACAGTACAAGCGCTCGGCTGAAAATATCTTTACATTTGAGTTCAATTTTTAATTGACTTTAGTTCCAATGCGATCTGATTCAGGTCATAAATTAGTACAATTTGATCGAGACCATTAACTAAGAGTATTAAAAGAGTATATCAGGATAAATGCTCTATAAATTCTAAAATTTATGAATTAAAGTCGTTAGACCATAGTTGCAACTTCATGACCATTGATCAGTCAGCAAACAGCTCGGACATGGTGCTCAAAAGGTACAAAACTTGAGGAGCTAAGTTGATGACAAATTCATCTTAGGAAACCGAAAGCTTTCAGGCTCGGGCTAAATTCGATCTAGTATAATCTAACTTCTACGGCTAAATTTCTGCTATATCATATTACCTTTTAGGAGGATCACCAGACATCTTTTCATGGAATATGATTGTCAAATTGCATGCATGTCGCATAAATCTCGAGGTCTTTCTTATACATGCAATTTGTGTAAGCATTCCTACCACCTGGAGTACTGTACAGTAGACATCTAATGAAAGTAAAAATGACTTTGAAAGCGATAGTTCAAGCTATGCCGTATCATATTACCGCGCTGCAATACTGCAATCAATATCACGTACTGTACGCTAGTTGTACTGTACAGTGTAGAGTATACACTACACTACCGTACAATATTCAATATTCTATACGTACTGTACTGTACGTGATAGCAACAGACGGGATTCGTAACCTGCATACTGCATACTTACGGCAGGAACTAGTATGCATTTTCAAGGAAATCACAGCATGATGCTATACCATATCTACTGCAGTTTACTAATATGTGATCAGTAGTTAATTACATGTGCATATCCCTATAGTAGTGTTAAATGATTATAATTCTCGATTTTATCTTAAGCGACGATAGCACATTAGAGGATCTACCGTCTATTGCTGTATTGAATAAAGCAAATTGTTTATTAGAATTATATTCTGCCTCAAATAACGTAGTGCTAATACTGCCATAATAATTACTCTAAATACAGTAATAGTCGTCACCGCACAGTACTACATCAAATATAGACCGCATCGGCGTAGAACGTTTGAGTAAGTAAGTAAGCACTAACTCTTAAATGCCGTAGCAACCAACCCGATTAACATTCTATACTGTGATCGATGTATCTATAGATCACAGCTGACTGAATATTCAAACCTCACTACTGTATAGGGTAAAGCTCAATTGTATAGGTCGCTTTCTAGTTAATAAGAGCACACTCAGATTTATGCAGCCATGTTATTGCTGTCTTTCTAGGATATACGTAGTTATTCCTTTTAAACAGCATAGCAACACCACCACATAAAATTTTCGAACAAATATTACAGAGATGGTTAATAGTTAAAAGTACATACTGTAGGTCCAAAAATAGGTATAATGAGAACTCCTTTTTAATTTCTTATTATTTCCAAAAATTGAATATTTAATTAAGAGTCTATAACATTCCTATACTCATTCACTTTCGTAAATATTTTTACATTTAAAATTCTGAAATTTAGCATCCACACATGTGGCATGTACAACACAGTCGATAGTAACGTCTGATATAATCGGAACTGACATGTGTCTATATACAGCATAAAATAATGTAAGTACTGTATTTAAAGTAATTTAAACAACTGCATGCTTCGTAGTGAAATAAAATTATGGAACAAAACTAGGCTTTCTGCCCTAAAGAAATTAATTATCAGACGAGCAAACACGTATACGTATATATATATATATACACTGAATTTACTTTTTGTTTAGATCTCGTAACTTTATGCATACTCCCAAATAATTAGTTTAAGATAACGGATTATGCATATTAATCGATACTATTGTTATATCATAGTGCAAATTTACTCAAGTGTGTAGTTAAAAAGGGTTGTCGATCTCCAACTAAGAAGACGCACTACTACGAATGATAACAGTAGAACTCCCAAACCAATGAAGAAAATACCGGTCTGAAACGAAAATTTTTAAATTGATTAACAAAAATCAATAATAAGATAGATCCTAATCATGAAAACATCTTACTTGCAATGAAGGATTTGGGACAAGAAACATCTTTAAATCAACAGATTGCCACCTAAAAATATCAAATTTAATTTTAGTCTCATCTTTGGAACATAAATGTCGATCTATAGTCAGGTCTAATTTATAGAATGCAACAAGCATACCTGCTTTCAGCCCAAGTTGAATAATTTTTAGATTTATAGTCTTTAAGTAAAAATGCAGGAGATACAGCAGGCGAATAATAAACGGTACCCCTATAGCACACGTTTTTAAAATCTTGTCCTTGAAACCATAAATAATTATATGCCTAGTACAAAGCAATTTCATTAGGGGGATTTCAAGGTATCTTAATCAGCCTAAATTTTAACATAGTTCATTTAATACTTACAGAGTTGTCTGACGTATTAGATTTACAATTGCTCTGCTTGGTTACATCAGCCAACTGATTTCCAGTAAAATACATCATTAAATGGTTAGTTAAATTCGTGACTTGATTAGGGCTTTGAGATACTCCCACCATACGAGGATACGCTGATGATGCTATTTAATTTAAATTAAAATCAACTGTTAAGCTCTATATCCATTCTAAGGATTGTAGCCATCTTTTGCGATCTACTTACGTAAATTTTTAGCATTACTATTCGAAACAACCTGCTGAAAGAGGGTGCATGATGCATTCTGAAGGAAACAGTGTAGCAACTCTGAGGTCTATAATAAAACATGCGAAAAATATTAATATTGTACCGGTAATATTATTAACGCAATTTGAACGGAGTAATTACTACTAAGAGCTTACCATATCTTCATCTGCTGTTATTTTCGATAGGTCAGGAGTAGGATTAGAATCAGAAGCCAACATATAAAGAGTTCTTGCAACAGTTGTTGCCAATCTGGTTAGATGCTGCAAACAAGTGTGGAGTCAGCCCGGTTACAGTTCTTACATTGTAGTTACCTTTATTTTTTAGCAAGTAGATTTAGGATCGAATTCATACCTTTGATAATGAATTTGGATCTCGCAATCCCTGTGAAGATAGCTTATCCATTACTTGGTTCAAAGAATCATAATGGCTGTTATAATAGCTAAAAAACGAAAGTAGCTTTCAATTCGATAATATTTTCTCAATCGTATGAAACGATATCTATAGCGAAGGTTATCAAATTTATCTTACGCATTCGTAAAATTTTTTTTATGATCAGTTAATACGAGGCCAGATAGTCCACTATCTTTACGAAGAAACCTTTGTACTGAAGCTGGTGGAAGAGGCAAATCATTGGATGCCTTACTAATATTAACTCCAGCACCAGTTCCCGCTTTTACCAATGCAGCGAAAAAAGCATCATTCTAAAACGGTAGACCCGAAATTTCTTGTGATACATGATTGATCATGCACAGATAAAAATTAAAGAATCAAGAGAATAAAATAATTTTGATACATACCCTCGATTTATCACCACTAGATGGGTCAAAGTGAGCCCATAAGGATTTTTCATCTTCCAGTCCTACCTGTCTAAGTTCTAAAAATTGACCAATGTTTTTCAATGTAATATTAGCCGGCCAATCCTAAAATGAATCAAGTCAAATATTAGAAAGTTGAATTGTTAACACTCTGTTAATGCTAATTTGCCTTAGAATTGCCTGGAAACATTCCACTCTCCATATCATATACCATCCTTGAGGATCCAATGTAGTCCCAGCTTTCCTAAATTTAATATAAATTCATCGTTATGGTAATAAATTATCACTAGATGCATTGATAAAGTCAATGATCGCATACTCCTTGAAAAAATGCAAACATAATAGGCTTTTTCGGCTTCGTTAGCTTATTCTAGAGAAATTAAAATAGTAAGTAGTTAGCATAGCAAACAATAGTCGCTGACTATAAATAAAGTTTAAACAAACCGAATTTTTGGCTTTACCCAAGGCATATGCTGCAGATAATAAAGTTATGAAGCCTGAAGCATCATTATCAGTTCCAGGTGCAAAGTTGTAAAACTGGGATATGGAATCCAACTATAAGTTTAAAAGTTAGCTTAATCATTAATTTATGACTAGTACTGCTTTGATAACATTGCTATAACATTAAACACTAAACCGATAGCAATGATAATACATTACAGAAACATTTTTTGTACTTTGTGCGTAAATGTATACATTGAAGAGATCTCGTAAATTAAGCTATACTGTACTGTAGTACTGGGTAGGCTATCAATGACTGATATACCTGTGCCGCTGCAATTATGAGTTCCCTTTCTTTAAGAGGGTTATTCATTGGATATAGTGTCGACCATACATTACTATCGCCAAGGGGATCACAAAATCCTATTACGTAGTATTAAAATAGCCAAATTATGCGTTAATTCTAATGCTTCCCTATACAGATTCTTACAATATTCATACCTCCAGATGTTAATGAACCAGCAATATTTCTACGCATGCAAACTTCAGTATTAGAAGGAGTAAACATGAAATCTCCCATTTGTACCGCACACAACGGATAAATTAGCTCTCCCTTGCTTGTAGGCATATTATGCTTAAGGTAGCACTACAATGAGATTTTGTTCAGAGGTTTTAGTTTAATACCGGATACGGTAGCATTATGTTACGTAAGTTTCTATATCTACTAATAAATCTCGGCTAGTACGCTTGTAACTCATATATACGTATAGGATATAGAACCTGTTTTAATCTTTGAATGTCATCCTCCATATAAACACGGAATATAGGAAAATCGAAACTTTTGTATAACATTCCACTTCCCTTTTTAGTGCAAAATACATCGATAAAGCGCATTAAAGTAACTGAAAGCAATACCAATTTATCTTTACGCTGTAGAGTAAGCTTACATGAGGATTCCACTCTATTCTTTTGCAACTCTGATATTGGCTATTGTCAACGTACATGCCTAAATAGTTAAGTGAATATAATTAATGGCTTCGAAAGCATTAGTTGGATATATCTATGAAATAATTACGATTACTTTAATTTCTCTAAATTATTTTACCGAAGCCATCGTTGGGACATGGTTTATCAGGAGAATAAGCTAATATAAATGTAATTATAAAGTTTCACCAATTTGATAGTCATTTAAATTAGGCAAATATGATTACTATTTGAAAAAATATTAAGGAATGATTATAATATATGCCTATAGTAGTAGAAATACCGTCAGGAATTTCTTTATCATCAGAAGCAGTATCATTAGCTCCTAGTATAATGATTCCAGCAATCTTTCGCTTACTCATTAAGAAATTGACGTTGTCTCTGTAAGGAGATTTAATACATAATTAAGTTTTGATTAGTAGATAAGCGATATTAAGTAATGCATTTATGCTGTGATTATGTAGGATTATAGTTAGACGTAAAAGAATTTTTCAAAACGTATCATTTTATTGCTTTGGTGCAATTTATCGGTAAAGTTCGCCATCATGCAGTTAATCACATCATATTGAATTAATTAATTATAGATTATTGTAATACTAGAGGAATAGATGCATTATTTACTACTTACAAATTAAATAACTTTGGAGTCATTAACGGAACATAATCAATATCAAGCTTGCTTGTAGCTAATTTATTCATATCAGAAAAACTCTCCACCAAGTGTAAGACGCCAACATTTCGCCAGTACTTGGCTATAGGAAGTACATAAAAAATTTATCCATATAATACAATGCATGTTAGATATCTATTTTAACTTTTAAAATTTCTGAACTATATAGAACTACAGCTTTTAACTTTACTCGTATCATTGATATTTTGTTCAATGATGATATTAACCTTAAACGTCAACAATAGTGATAAGCAATTAGCATAGTACTGTGTCATTGTTACTTACAGGTGCATCCAATGCTGTGATTCTTATTGGTGTACCTGACGCAATAATTAAATGAGGTGATATCACGGTATACCAGTTTATTCACTGTTTGGCCGTGAGCAACTGTCCAAAAAATGAGTCAAGATTAAGAACGGTACTACTTCTTTATCTCTTGTCAAATACAAGTAATCTATTTTTCGATTCAATTGGTAGAAATAGGGTTACAACAAGGTTGTAATAATAGTGATGAGCAGTAATATAGCCACCGCTGTTCATTGATAGTACTACATTTAACTCTAAATTTACCTTACCCTCATTAATTACAATGACTAAGTAGCATACTTTTGGTTTATACCATATACCAAATACGTAATCAATTCTACTATACAGTACTGTGATCATGACTGAATTCCATTTCTTCTCATTGTTCGTTTCCATCGAGCGAAATCAATTCTACGTGTACGTACATACCAAACTCGTAAACTAATGGATTGAAAACTGATCTAATTCTATATGCTACAGATATTAAGGCATATAATCCAGTGATTACCGTGACATATCAAGATTAACCAAGCAAGCCGTAGTAGAAATCGATCACAACAGTTGGGCTTCATCTTTTCTCCAGTGGGGGAAATGACGTTTTCCTTCCAATCCTTCAGTGGAGTGCGATCATGGTGCTGTACGATACAGTACAGTGCGATATAACAGTATAGGACACTACTGTACCGTGCTGATAAAAGTTGACTAAGGTTTACACTAGGCTGGATTCTAACTGTAAGCACTGCAGATACAGTACTACAGTACAGTACTGTACTGTAATAAGCAAATACAGTACTGTACACTGTAGCGTACATCTGTATAGCAGTACTGACGTCATACTGTACAGTACCTTACTGTACAGACAGTTACAGTACTGTACTGTAAACGTTATACTGTACTGTACTGTCTGTACTGCATAAGTACTAGACTGGACTGGATCGGACCAAGCTGGACTTAGTCTTATAGTATGCAATACTGACTCACACTACAGTACAAAGAAAGTGCTGGTACCGAATAGCTATCTACTGAGTCAACTCAACTGGAGGCACTCGTAACTTGGATACCAACTTGATATAACATCGAACTTGGACGTATTCACATCGGCAAACGTAAGCGGTTATTAATTCAAAGTACTAGAGTACCTACTTTAATCAGGCTTTATCTGATACGGTTTGATAATAATTTAGTAAATCTAGTAAATTCTATTCCTCGCTCAGGATGCTATCGCCAGAGGTAAGATTAAGATAACATTCTTAACGTACTACTGTAAGCGTATTATGCCACCATCCTAAGTATACACGAAAAGTGATTCCTAGAACAACGGCATTAATTTTACTAGGGATAGTCGATTAAGTCTTGAGAGATAAAACCTTTCGTAGAAGTGCTTAATAATCAATACTTTAATGTGAACTTTGAGTAATTCTTAGTAGCCTCTAGTGCAATCATGCTCTTACTTAGTATTGTAGAGACCTAGACGTGATATCAATTGTTGTTGCACTATTGCATTGCAATTTTCAATAGTATATTATAATAAAATGTACGAGTATGTATAGTACATATTTTTAAGATTATTTACGAAGGTATGAACGAGTACCAACGATTAAATACAAAGAGAGTCTAGACTATTTATACAATAACTACCAGTATCATATAAGTTTATACATACGTGAACGTAATAGAAGTATAAAATTATGATGCCTTTACATCAAGCGATTAATTTATTAGTAACTCTTCTAGTTACTGCTTGAACATCATTAGAACGGAAGAGTATAACTTGCAGTATTACACGTATACAACTGCAGTTGGTGACAATTACATAAATCACGTTTTGCTTAAATTATAACACACTAATAAGTATGAATACACGCTTGCAGTATAGAGATAGTGCTAGAGGCGCTTCAAAAACAATTAAGGAAGTTTTACCCAAGTGTGGTATGCTGTTTGCTGAAGAAGGTGCTCAAGCCGTAAGTTTATCTTTAAAACAGATATTATTATGTCCGATGTGTAAAGAATTTAACTGCATTGCATTATGTATTTACAAGATTCTTTGCAAACCGAAATTAATGCCTTTGAAATCGGTTACACTTGAAAAACTAGATAAGATGCAAAAAGAGGCAAGTATTATGTTATAGTTGATCGTCAACTATCATCAGTTATTTCCTTTTTCGTAGTATTAATGCTGCATATAAACCTCCATTCCACTTATCACCTATTAAATAATGTTTGCAAAACTATCGATCCAATAATATATTTAGGCTCAAGAAACTGTTAAGCAACAGGAACTTCAAAAATTAGCTGAGGAAGAAGAAAAGATCGCTTGAATACAATATATGTATAGTTTAAGACAACATCTAATATACTGTCATTCTATAAAGCATTCTACAGAAAAAATATGAATTTTTTCAAATTACAATCAATCAGTATCTTAACTAGATAGACGATTCATCCGGGAGTAATGATAGAGTAGTGATACTTCAGTAGGAGAGTGTACTACTTGAACTATAGATAATATAGCGTGTTCAAAGTTCCGGATATATTGCACACTTCCATGCAATAGCAATTATAATTGATACCGTATAATTTATTAAAATTTGTTCATGATTGCTTAAATTATCTTAGTTATTGCTGCCGTTCTATTGATTATCGCGTGTAAATAGATGAACTCAAGGCATATTATGGCTAGATTGTAATTTAAGATCACCTACACTTGAAACCTCCATGATAAAATGTAATGCATATTCACGTATCAAATCATAAGCTTTAATAAACTTTATATTTCAAATTAAGTCCAATGATACTTTCTTAAATATTGTGATATACCTAAAACTACTAATTACATATCGTGAATACACATAGAAGCTACATAGTAAGCATGTGGAGTAAGCATATATTGCATAATTTAGGGATATCTTGAATAGAATTAAGAGCCATGTAAGTATTTCATATATAATAAAGCATTGCTAACCAGCAACTGTACAAACAGTGAAAACTTTAAGCTATTAAAACATAAGATATTTAATTTAATCATGATTTCAACTTTATGCCGATAATGCTATATTTATTCCCTAAAAATATAGAAAAAAATTTAATTTTATAAAAAACGATAACCTTTTTACGTTGATCAGATTTAAGTCACAATCTACGTCTCTATGGAATAAATGCATAAAGTAGTTTGATTTAAGAGTATATGTGCCTTTGCAGAACAGTCTTACGCTGTTTTTGCAAATTTCTTCCACTGATCAACATACGCAGCTCCAGATGTTGTCAGAAATGTGTTATATGTGTTTCTAAGAGGAGGGAGATCTAACTCTGGTTGATGAGCAGGAAAGGCATATTTATCTCTACCTGTAATGTTTTAAATCGTAATATATATATCATTTATCAAGAAATTTGAGATATTTGATACTGGAATAACTAATTTTTCATAGCCTATTTTAAAACACAATCTAGCAGTCAAATTATGGTATCTTTTCAAATACTACTTCGTTAATTATAATCACGCTATTTTACGGCTTACTTTTTAACTTGCGAACTTGGTGGTCGATTTCTGGGGACTTTTTCGAAACGTATTCGACATTGTAGGTGGTTTCATAGTAGTGAGAAAACTATACAAGAATAACAACTGGGGTTTTAATGTTTATTTTAAATGTAAATAATTTTTATTCTAAATCAAGTAATGCACTTTTACTGCAATACAAAACTGTAAATCGTTATCGCTAGCTATTAATAATATAATGTACGCTCATATATTGTTATAATTTTTTGATTAATGTTAATATAATTATTATAAAACATATTACTGCATTGATAATGATCGTTTTACTAATATATTGGATAAGCGGATGTATGATCACACTGCTTCAACTATAGCCAACATTATAGCGTAAAGGAAAAAACTATGAATTCTATATAGTTACGATTATATAATCACTGTTATACACATTCCATTTATATATATATGACATACGAGTATATTGGTCATAAAACCAATTAACTTATTCATATGTAAGACAACATTATTTAATGATCGTCATTCACTTACCCGTGATGGTAGGCATTTTCTTTTACTTACGCTAGTAAGATCTAGCTTTTCTTCCACCCAGTTACCTACTAGTACTCCCTTCCGATAGACATCATCGCGTTTACCAGATCTCCAGCCGAATTGACTAAATTTATTTTTGTCTGTGTGATCCCAAACTTCTCCTTGGGTTGTAGCCCTCACATAACTCATAAAAGGCAAATCTGTTTGGTTTTGAGCCATCTTATGCAAATTAAAGCTTTTACTACAGGTAAGTATGTTTTATAAATTGAACAGCGGGGCTAACAACATGTCATATACGCACTAACTTCCTATGACTTGGTGGGAAGCCCAAAGTTACTATAGCAACCATATGATAAATCCAATTTCATGGTACAACTGGGGGTCATACTCGTACAGATAGTATAGTCAGTACATTAGCCATTAAGCACCCTTCAGTATCATACTATTGGTTAAAGAAAAGAGAGGCAGCTTAGTAGCATTAATTAATTAATTAATTAATAAATTGATTAATTTGTTTTGTTCTCAAAAGAATAGAAAAGCTAGTGATGCGAAGTTACTCGCGCATGATCTTTATCTGATTTCTATGGCCTCATATTTCTCGAAATTTATAAGATCTACGCAAATTAAAATGGATGTCGACTTGTGCCAAGATAGTTTTGATCTGCATATCTCAGCCAAACTTTATATTTAGAGTGATGATTCATGTTTTTTATAATTTAGTTATTGTTTAATGGGAGAGTCCTAAAATAATACTGTGACTAAGATCAAGTTCTAGGACAGTACTAAATATCAAACAGTTCGCCTAAGCAATGATATACATTGTATATTCATATCGTGCAGTGCATGCGTAGAAATAATATAAGACTATACATATGTACTAAGCATCTTATTAAATTTAATGACTTCTTACTGTCAGTGAATCATATAATGCAGATGATTTGATATCCTAAAGGAATGTTACAGTAAATTATTTCAGAGTGAATTTACATACCTGCTCGCGAGGCATTGTGGAAGTAAACTTTAAGATATATCGTAGCAAATTTAACACTTTTCTGTCGTTTATAGTTTTTTTCTACAAAGTCAGCTCTCGTTGCAATTTTGTGCTTAAATTGCCGGCCTTTCAGCTATTTAAGTGAGTTATAGGAAATTCAATCACCTCCGAATTACTGCAATTAATTCCACTGTTAAGATATTAAAGTTAATTTTATATGTTAATTCTATATTATTTGCAGTCACTATCTGAACAATTTATGCCATATTTGTAGCGGATATATGCTTATAAGAACATACTGCAATCCATAAGCTTCGCTATTTATTAAGATTAACACTGATTCCTTAATTGGACTTCTATACCATACTTTCTTTTTAGCTGAAATACGTGTCAAAAATGGTTCTTGATGGTGAATATTATGCCGCTACAACTATTGTAGTGACTACTCTAATCATTTATTATGGTCGTGACTTGCACTTAAAAACTTTGAGCCACTGTCAGTATCTTCCAACTGTATTTGCTATAATATTTAGTTGGCATCGTGGCACTCTGCAATCTTTATTACATCGAGCTCTTTTATTAAATCAAAGCTATCAGGTACACAGTACACAGCTTAAGTTAACTTCACTGGTTTTTTAAAAATAGTTTTAATTATGATATTCTACATAAATTATGGCGTAATCGCTTGTTTTATAGTCATTAGAGATCATAATAGGTACAGCCTTAGTAATCCTTATTATGTAGCATTCTGCTGTTTCATAAAGCATATCCAAACTATTGCTATGTCGATTTAAGAATCGATAACGTATTAACAATTAAGCGTTTACATAACATAAAATTTTTTGTTGTGATTTCTTAACTTAAATAGAAAAAGCTGATAAGAAAGATATTCCATATAACTGAACTATATTAAATTTGGGGTTGATTGTTTTAATAAGGTTATCGGGCTTCATATAATGCAAGGGATTACGATAGCTGCAGCTTCCATTGGACTAGTAGCAATGCTAGATGTCTTTTTGGGCTGGGGTATCATTAAGCAAAGTAAAAACTCAAACACTATTTTTGGACCAAACACAATTTCGAATTATGGCATCTTTAGTTTATTGAGAGCTTTTGGAGAAGAATTTGGTTGGCGCTGCTATCTCATGCCGATACTTTTGGCAAAATACAACGTCATGGAAACATTATTTATTAGTGGTATCATCTGGGCATTATTTCATATTCCAATTATGATATTACTAACTGCTAGATATGAAGTTGAAAGACCGTTGTATACCTGGGTGCTGCAAGGCTTATCTGTATTTCTTGACGCTTATGTATTTGGTTGGTTATCAATCCAGACAAATTACTCCCTATGGGCTGCAGGATCATTTCATGCTGCATGGAATTTCATTAATCCAATTGTGTTGGGTAGCGTATATACAAATACAGATGGCATTATTAAAGGAGAACTATGGAAAATTAACGGTGAAGGCTTAGCTGGTTGTATTGTTAGTCTTATGATGATTTATTTAATACAGTTAAATATATCTTAGCTCTTGTAGTTATTTTTTAAAAGTCATTTATAGAAAGTAATTACATTTTAAAAATAATTAATTTCATTAGAGCCAGTTACTTTTATCTTCGTTTATATGTTGCTAAGAGTAAGTATCTATAAATGTATCATTGCATACAACTTGCATAAATGCTAATATTGATACTGTATCATTTTCAATCTGACTGACCACACGTTGGCTGAATACCACCTAATAGCTCTACTAGCATTACATTGAGAGTAAATAGATAATTTACAAATAAAAGTGCAGTATCTGTTTCTTTAAGTTCTTCGATCTTGCGAAAGAGCTACTGAGGATTAGATAAGCTAAATCGGTAGGAAAAATGTTGAAGTTCCATTTCGCAAAATCTTTTCACTCTTTTGCCAATATCCGTATCCGTATTCATTCTCACAAATCAATTAATAAATTTTTAACCTAGATGTATTACAAATTAATTCGTAAGTTGTACACACTCTTAGACCTGGTTTTTGCAAGTTTCTACAGAACAGTCATGACAGTAAAATGACGGAGTTTATTTATGATCTCAAAATCTTTAACTTTTTCTCACTATCAAATTTTATTATTAAATTCTTCTGACCAATAACTGCTATAAAAGTCTTCATACATGTGTTACTCTAATATGCTTTTCAATACGTAGAAATATAATCGGTATAATTTAATGCCTACACAAAATGTACATTTCTATTACAGAAAGTAATAATTCTTTCTATGTACGCATATAGAGGATTCAGTGTAGTAGCCCACAGGTAGACTGATGATGGCATTCTACTTTATAAGAATACTGGCGCTACTATTAGGGAGGCTTTGGGGAATATGCAAAGAAAGCTTACCTTGTTCTATTTATTAGCGTTATAATGATATTGATATTTAATTCAATTAAACTTAACTTAAACTTTTGTACAAAGTTTGCAAATAAGTTTATTGAAAGCAAATTTAGTTTTCAAATCAATTCAGTTAATAAGAATCAATCATTTCCCGTTTTATCGTCCTAGTATACTGGTATATCCCTTACTAAAAGGAGATATTTCAAAATATACAACCAAATAGAGATTATATCAGTGATAATTTTAGTTTTTTAATTACAGCTAGTATAATAACATTAATACAAGTTGATGGTAGGTTGCATAATAGTATCAGTAGTAAAGATTCCTAATTGTGCCATTTCTGTTTTTAACTTCGTCATCATATCACCTGAAAGTTCCTGTAATGGAGAGCGTGGAATACCAATGTCTAATCCCCGCAAGGTCAACATTGCTTTATGAACAGTAACCTCATTACCTGCCAACGTAATAAATCAAAATTGATAATCAAATATCATTCCTCTAATATTTCTGGATATATTCTTAAAATATATTTGATAATTGAGGTGTTGTACGCACTGTATGAACCTAATTTTCTGTGTACAGCGTTAACAATGCCCTATTAATAAGAGAAATTGAAATTGTCAGGGCAAAAATCTAATAAAACAAAGTAATCTGCCAACTCCAAAGTAGTAACTCACCGACGACATGAAATACCTTACTTGATTAATTATATACTAAAAAGACTTTGATAAATTAAAATAGCATATCTTACTTGTAGCCGTCGAGCTTCGTGTATATTACCAAGTTTAAAGCAATCAATGATACCATTGTATAATTTTCCTAAATAACCATATACGCTAGAATAATTTATCGACAATACAAAAAAGCAATTAAAATTTTACGATCATTTAAAACGACATATGAAATTTCACGCCTTAATAAAATAATTTTAATCTGTAATATTTACTGGCTTTGAAAGATCGTACACCCGACCGCAAGACCTCCTAAAAATTGCTAAAACAAAGAGTACTCGTAAGATTGTAATTTATTTGCAAATTAAAAAAATGAAACTTAAATGTACCACGAATCTTAAAGTATATTTGAGGCTTAATATTACTTAAGAAACTTCAGTTGTGTACCTCTTCTCTCCCCATGATCATGAAATAATTTTTCGAATGAACACTCGAGGTTTTACATAGGCCGTAGTCACACAAATTATAACCATTGTATTGCGTACCACAGAACGTTGGAACATCAAATGCAATACAGTTCAAAATTTCTTCAAGATTTAGAACAGAAACTACAAATATTCGTTAGTGGTTGCTCGTAACAGTACGTACTATGCCATAAACTAAAGGTTAAATCAATTGAATACAAAAATATTTCTCTATAACACATACATGGTTCTGTACTGGATGTAATAATAGTTTCTTCAGAGTGATTATATAAGAGAGGTATATTAGGAGCATCGCGAGAAATATTAGACAAGTAATTTGTTAAGGTTGCTAAAGAAAACAATGAAAAAGAAAGTAAACTTTAGTACCAATGCGATAGTGACACAGGAAAGGATTTCATGCTAACTAGTGATTGTCACTTGGAGATTTTTTAATGCCCAAGCTCCCTAAGTATCGGTAGTAACTTAAACATAGAATCAAAATTCATCTGCGATATATCTTACCTATTCTAGTTTTATATCCATAACTTGGACAAGTACAACTAATAGCTGAAACACCAACGGATTGTGCAAAGCGTGCCTAACAAAAGTATCAGGAATAAAAAACACCATAGCGTAAGTTAAATTAATAAAATCTTTCTACCACTTTTACTCGTATAGAACGCATGCGTTAAAAATAAAAAAAGAATCGAGTGACTACCAGTTCAGTTGCTGCGTTGAGACAATCGCAACTAACGTTACAGATGATTCCCTGAAGTCTACATAAGCAAGTTTTATTATAATAAATTCAATTACCAATAATACAATTATTGCAAATGTAAGTTTAATTGTACGAAATTTACAGTAAACATACTTTCCCTGAGATGCTCTAGCCCATTCTTGTACTATGGCTTTCCTTTCGTCGATCGTTAATGATTTATATTCACCAGCATCACTACATACTGTTGGTTGGTTAGCAATTAGGAGTAACACCCATATTAATCAATATTAACAGAAATAAGTGCGATAAAGATAGATGAAGTAGAGCTTTAGCTTTCATAATATTAAACTTACTGTGACAAATCGTAATACCATCGCTGAGTAACAAATTAATATATTGTGGAATTAAGGTTAAATTGAGTTCTCTGCTCGTATAAATATTTTTATTAGTTATAATAAATGTTAATGTTGTATTGTTGAAATTAAATGATGAGATTAATCTTAGTGATTTAGACTATAGGAATAATTTAAGAGCAACTTAAGGACCACCTTGCCTATTAGCTATAGTGAACATGACATCACCATATTGTATTCAAAAGAATGTAGGTAATAAATGAGCTAATAGAGTAAACTAACCCGTTACGATGAAAAGGAGTCAATACGTCAGCTATTAAACCTTCTACCATAAATTGTTTAGGTGTCGTAATCTAGATTTTAATAACAATATCGAATGGTGCAAAATTAATTGATTAATATTTTTTCTAAATCTTTAGCAGAAACTAAGGCGAAAATTTTGATTGAAATAGTTGAGATGTATTGCTAATTGTACCATAATTATAATTACTGTAGTTATGAAAATTATCCAATGTTACTATGGAAAAAGATAGATGATATCTATAATTAATAATACTACAAAGTTATGCAGCACAACATGCTGAATGGAGGTATTTTTCGTATAACTTACAGGTGATACTTTCATGCCGTCATTTAATTCACCTTGGATGACAGGTCGAAATACTTTACTGGTTAAACGTTTGACACCTGATGAAGAAGCTCTTGATCGATTTTGACTAGCATTCGTTTTCTTAGCTCCAGTAATGGTAATAGTAGTAGTAGCCTTGCTGGTGGAATCATTCTGATCATTTTGCAATTTCCTCACCAATAGCTTTTCATAAGGTTTTCTAGTAATACAGTATATACATATATTCTGAAATCTCTTAGCGATCGTAAAAATTATTTGCAAATTAATTTTATTGTAGCACCTCCACATCGCCTAACTTTTGTATTATACTGTACGAATTGCAATCACAATGATGGTTACTATGATTGTGTTACCTAATCATTTTAAAGCTTTAGCTGGCTAGTAACTGTTAGCAAAATGAGTAATAATTACTGCAGTAAGTACTAATTAATCGATGCAATTGTAAAGTAATACAGTAGTTGGTAGAAGAGTGCAGCAGGCATTTGTAATGTATTCCTTGACATTCGACGAACTTGTTGAGCAGATGAGGACAGTAGCATATGATTTATAAGCCCATAGTACTGACAGTATTATAGGGTAAGGATATCTATCACTGTTAAAGGTACAAACTGGAAGCTGATGATTGCCATATTTTGTTATGCAGATACTGTGTTAGAAACATGTAGACTATGACGTCAAGTGTAAACACCATTTTAAACCTTGCGTGTATGACGTTAGGCAATAAATATGATATGACATCAAAAGATGGTACAGCAAGATTCCTAATGCGATCAACTTGTATAGGAATTTATCGTCTTATCGTTGATGATTGACTGTTAATTCAAAGATTTTTGTACCTATTTGAAGTTTTGATACTAGAAAGCGACATCTTTGTGAAGAAACTGAGCAGCACTGCAAGAGTAGTACGATAGAAAAATGGATCATCCATATACTGTAGACGTCTACATGCTAATACTATTGATCGTTCTTATCGGTAGAATAACATTTTTGTACAGTAATCTCGTTTACCTGGTGCTATCAGTGATTGGGCCAGGTTTCTCACCACATTTGATCAGCTCTGCTTTGAGCTCAGCGTTGCTTAATTCAGTAAGACTTTTACGTTCACCATTGATAACGTCAAACATAAGTGTGTTGATATCTACTGTAGCTTCCTTCCGTTTAGTCGTTGACTTTCTACTTCGTTTTAATGGTGGTGTAGCCATTGCCAAACTTTGAACGAGTCAGTCAGTATACAGTTCAATACACTTCAAATATGTAGACTAGTTACCGTTCGAAAGTACGGTAGGCTCTTTTTCGGCTTTCTTTGACTTGCTAGAGCTGTTGTTATGAAATGTAAGATAGTTACAGAGGACTTCTTAATGCCAGGAATACTATTGTAACAACAGTGGCTATTTTTTTCAGCCTTTCCTTGAGTTGTTCCTGTTGACAAAGTCAGTGATTTGATACTGAGTCACACTGTAATCTTAGCTTGGCAGATTCTACAGTGATCCAGTCAGCACGACTATGTTGGTGAAATCTCTCCTTCTTAGGACACGGATTGGCGTAGAACTACTGTACGTATTCATTTTTCAGCATTAGGGTCAAAGGACAGATAAACGCATACAGTTTTAATTATCAACTGAATTAGTTGTTTAGAAGAACGTCTAGTCTTGTTTTATGTTAAGTATGTTAGCTAAGCCAGTAAATTTCATGGCATAATTTTACGTTTTTATCACTGAAATTCTTCACTTACCGCACCATCAAGTCCGCTGGAAAAATTGATTCAATGGCTGTCAATTTACCAATTATAATGTATTTAAATGATGCTTCACGGTACAGTACAGTATGACATGAAGCGTTTCAATTGTTTTTGTGTCAAACGTACAGTACTGTAGCTCTAGTCAAACAACACAACAACCGATCGATGTTCACACTGAGTACAGTACACTGAGTACAGTACACTGAGTACAGTACACTGAGTACAGTACAGAATTGTACTGTAGAGCATGAACTCCTATAAAGGATCTACAGTACAGTACTGTACTGTACTGTACTGTACCGTACTGTACAGTACATACTGTACACTTCGCAACGATTTGCAAGTACATTTGTACAGTACAGTTCACATCAACTTGACACATCAGTTAACTCGCTGTAATTGATTAATTTATTATGATAAAGTAAAATAAAATGAAGAGGATATAAAAATTAATAATGACCGTCATAATATGCTATTTTCTTCTTCATTTGATAATTATAATTATCACTAGCCAGCCTTAGATAACTCCATATTGAAGTAGTGCGTCAGAAACAGTGATTTCCAGCTGTAGCGTACGCACACTCGTACGGCAGTTTACAGTATACTGCAAACACTAAGGTTGCATTGCATTGTACAAAGCACAACGTGGTGCTCCACTAAAGCAGCATGGTTCAATAGTTCAATCTATAAACTCCAAAGGTTGATTAAATATCGACAGTAAACTTGGCTGCATATGGTGGTTGGGTTGTCAATTTCATCATGTCTATAAAATGTCTACAGTACAGTATATTCATTGAGTTAACCACACGAACTTTTATCGCACGCTCAAGTAACGAGTGGATAAACAGCAGTACAATTAAACATTATATTATCAACAACGCTGCGTACAGTATGGACGTACATGAGCAGAATTGGGTTCAGCATGGAGATAAGAATAGGTTATGGCGGCATGCTACTGACCAGAAATTAGAAATCCTTAGTTTCTCACGTTTACAGTAGTATAGGAGACTGCAAAAATGATCTTTGGTGACATTTGGGCGTAGCTCATGACCTCAGAATTTTTAAGATCCAAACAGCGAAACAGAATTGAAGTGAGATCATGTTTTTGTTTATAAGTTAAATTTTTGAACCCAATACTCTAAAGTCGATAGCGTTGTGTATGGTTATCAGAGTCTAATGCGCCCGTAAGCCATGTCATATTTAAATTTTTTTTAATTTGTATTTCATTTCGTTTACTTCATCTATGGCCGTTGAATTCCTTCTAAAGGGGTTACGGAGCTTATATCTTTAGCTGTTCAACATTCAGTTGCGCTAATGCATTACCACTGGGGGTTCAAGATACGGCCTTGACCTATGGCACTTTGCACACGTTGCATTGTTGTGCCAAGTAGTGTACACTGTACAGCACGTAATAAGTAATCCAATTATTGAGATCTAGTACAATATAAACTAAAGATATAGCGTAAATATATTATGAACAAGTATCTAGAAACTAGCTATATTGTATAGCCTATATATCGTACGTAACTCTTATACGTGATTAGTAACGTCAACAGATTATCTGAATAAACCAATGTTGTCCGTTGTGTCCAATTAGTGTGTGGATTACTAAATCATATTTACGGTATACCTTGCAAAGTGTTTATAGTATTTTTATTCTACCTTATAAAAGATAGCAACATAAAAATAATAACAATAATAATAATAATAATGCTATGTTTTTTGTATTTTACCGAAGGATAACTTGGCATAATATAAGAGGTCAAGATCTAAATTATATTTTTATTTCAATGTGTAGATGCAACTACTTCGGTGTATGGAATGTACTTCCATGGATTATGGAGCTATACATGTATACTTGTAAAACGTATAATAAGACTTATTTGCTTACAGTTTTAAAAATCTGAAAATATGCAAACTTGCAGTTCTTTGATATATCTAAATCGAATAAACCAATGTTTACAACTTTATCGCAAGCGCTTATCAAATTTTGTTTATACGTTTTATTACCCTTTTTTTTGGACGATAAAGTGTTATTGCATGCTACGTGAGTGAATTTTAGATTTTAAATATACTATGCTTCTAATATTTTCTTTGTACGAAAATGTTTTTACTTCTTGACCTTAAACTTTTAAGTTAACACTACTATATAGTAAATAACTAAATATTTTAGGCATTTAATCTAGATTGATAGTAAACAAGAATGAAAGACTTGTGAATCATTGTCACTATATATATAATACTCGTATATATCGTATGCATACATTCTTAAATTATTATTATAATTACATATTATATGTTTGTAAGTCTGTATTGCTTTTCAACATTGTTTCGAAGAGTTTTAGGTCGAAGTCGTAAGGGATCGGGTATACACTATACAGCTGCTGTATCTTCAATACTATACAAAAACAAAAACGGCGATCAACGAGTGATTTAAACCATATACGCATATTTTTATATGGCAGTCTGTTAAATCAGATAAAGGTAACTTTTACGGCATAACAAGTGCTATGTGCAGGTAGCATAATAATGGATCGCTAGAAGCTACAATGTAGCTGCTACATTGGATTACTGATAGTACTGTAGCTCATGTGTCATCAGCTCTTACAATATACAGCATAATAATCTTGGAAGTGTAAATTAATTGACTCTAACGTATTGATTGCAACATCAAGATTTATAAATGGCGATTTAATAGTCATAGAAATTATAATTGCTATAACATTATACAGTATAATCCTTTACTAGCGTATGTACAATGTACAGTACTCACCGTGCTCTGAGTTATCTACAGTATATTATGGATTGAAAGTGACCAAGTATTTACTACATACAGATGAAAACTTCAACAGTCGGTTGGACTTTTTAGCCTACCGTATATTGCACTGTCTAGCAGTTGCCCTGCTGATGTAAATTAATGCTGTAAAGTCCGTTGGCTGTACAAACAGTTGAATTTTGGTACATAATTATAATGGCACATGCTGTACACTGTACAATATATATATATATAGTATCCACATTGCATTTTCTAGTTTCTGGTCGATGGAGCGGAAAGGTTCAATATTTTGAGCAATATAAGTGAATGAGGGATAAATAACAGGGGATTTTTTCTTTACTGTTAATTAAATAAATGTGCCCATAAATAAAGTACAGTAATGTGGCTGTACTTCAGTTTACGTAGATGGGTCAAAAATGTTCTGTAGGAGTGCCTGCTTGTACTTGACAAATTTAAATATCTCTTTCTTTGCTTTCTTTTAGACAGCACATGCATAGTTTGATGAAAATTTTAATTTGCTGTTAATTAAATTAATTAATTCATCTGGAATTGTCAGTATACTAGTAGTACGATACAGTACTACACGTAAGGATTTTGATGCTCATTTGCAGCTTCCTGCTTTTTTGTCATATCGAATAGCTCCTCAAATAGGCTCATTTTGTAGACATTCTAGTTCTCTATCATAACTGGTCAATCCCTCGTTGATTCTACTCTACTTCGCATACCATACCATGCTCTTATTTCTACTTTTTACTTTACGTTATTATCCCTATCCCTTGACTAATTCCAGTACTCTACGTTACAGCCTGATTACACTCCTTTTATTGTTACAGTATCGTCCAATATCAGTAACTACTGTCCTGTATATCGTCAGATTGTGCATTTTGGGGAATGTGGACTACTGTTTTGTCACTGACTACTAGAGTACTGTACTATCAATAGGTGTAATGACACAGACTATACCGATTAAAGAAAACAATTTGCCTTTGATGGCTGACTGAATATTGCAAAATTAATGTCACCACTGTGCTTTTCATAGTACAGACTTGTATTCTCTATAGTGAATCTGTTATTACCGACTACTCACTGCAATCAAGCAAGAAAGCAGTCGTACAGTGTACAGTACAGCGTGCCTCTACAGTACTGTACTGTAGAGTGGATGAGAAAAAAGCTTTTTCTTTTACCCCTATGCTCGGACATAAGTTACTATAAGACAGTACAGTATGACAGCAAGTGACTGCACGGGTACGGATAGACAAACGACTACAGTGTAAAGTAGAGGCAGGCGATTGTAGACAACAAGGGCCGAAAAACGACTCACCAATTGCGTCAGCAATTGGCATTTCATATGGATGACTATCGGCTACACTGACGTTTGCTACATACTATCCTATACTAGATGCACGCTGCGCAATACAGACTCTTGCTTGTATAGGCTAGCGTTCAAATTGGCATTTTTTAGGGGGAACGTTATTACAGTAAATAAAACGACCAACCACTGAGAAGTTGCTCATCTCTCTCCACTATGTTATAGATATTCAAAATAAAAGGGGGGAATCTATTCTATTCAGTTAATACTACAGTATACTACGCTATTCTAGCTTATAGGATATTATTATTTTATATTGGCGACCAGTGCAACACCATATTTCAACCGTTTTCATACATAGACTGACATTCAAATTAAC